ATATATCGAATAGTAATTTTGTGAATTATTAACTTACATATTTGCACATGTAATTAACTGTAACATATTCTCGTTATGCCCTAATATCTGATTCAATTCAAAATGCGAATGTTTTTAAGTCAGGGACGAACATTCACGTAGGTTCTTGGATCTATTGTTGAAGCAGATTTGTTTGCCTATCAATCAGTAAACTGATGCATATTCAACTTAACTGTGAGTTGAATACAACGAATACAAAACAGTTTTGTAGTGTATAGTGATGCATGTGTATGCAAGTTATGTGCTATACGTTAACATGTTACACGGCATATAATACTAATAATAAATGAAAATAATGATAATAGTCAATGAATATCAACCGTTTCTGTTTCACAGATGTTTTGAATTAAGTTAACGGTGGAGCATTCATTGCAAAAAGCTCCTAGTTCCGGAAGATAATTACCGTTCTGTTCTAAATTTTTGAAAAAATAATCTGAAAACGCGAACTGGGAATGGGTGTATGAAATAGAGCAACATTGCAGTGCAATCTTAATTTGATGAATGAAGTTCCATTAAATCATTATTGACGGTAAAAGAGATTCTTAACAGTTCTCTAAGAACAGTCATAAGTAAATTCAGTTTCATAACGTGACAATCATTGGGTGTTGTTTTTATTTCCATAATCTTTGCATTTAAGTTTAACTGCTGTTATTTTTGCTTTTTTGGCACCGTCTAGTAGTCGATTCCATCAACAAACATCACACTGCAGCAACAAATCATCGAATAATAAGATGAAGTTATATTCAGAGAAGTTTTAAGGTATGCATAGTTTGAGATTCTATAATATAATTTGTTGGATGCTTTACACTTACTGAATCGCTTTTTGAGGGCGGCTTGGGTGTCCCTATTTGTGATATTCGGACGGATAGCTGTTGTTCTGTTCTCATATCCTCAATTAAGCGGTAATTATGTACTGCTGCAAATGCTGTCGTAATGGTCGTCCTCCAGTATGAATAGTGACACTAATCATCACGCCATGATCTTGATCTGAACCCATTATCACGCATCAAGGGACACATCATCATAATCGTTAATTAGACTGACAATCATGTGAGATAAAAACGATACGAGATGATGCAGCAATCAGAGCAATGATAAGTCCTCAAATGGAACAACATAAGTTTTTAATCGAAGACCGCGCATGAAAAAGCCGCGGACAAATCGTTTATTGGACTGAAAAGACGGCTAGAGAGCAGCGTATCTATTTGTGGGTAGAACATAAAGTGCGGTTCAACTGAGGTAGATGATGATTATGGAGCAAAGAATCGAGAATCGCCAGTTTTTGTAGGTGCTCTCTTTGAGAACTTTAAAAATGGTGTCTTCTAAGAACCGTCCTTGCAGCTCTTCTGTTTACAGTGATAATCTGCCATCCGTCTTACATCTGAGCTGTTCTTGAGAATACATGCATCATTTTCGTGAATAATCATGTGGGCTATATGCATACGCTGACTAAGGAATGAACAGAAATGAGGAGAGCACAGACGTTGCACTGCCGAGAAAGGAGCTCGCAATAGTGATATGACCTTTGAACTAACGTCATACTCGCGATGCCTATCTGTCTCTTGTCCGTCTATTCAAATGACCCAAATTGTGCACATTTAAAGTGAACTTCATCAAGTCATTCATTCGTTGCTTGTGTGTTTGCTTATCGAAACACAATCAAATTCTATTTGTATTCATACTTATTTGTGCACGTTTATTTGTATATGATACATGTGTTGTTATCTGTGTAGTCACCGATTTTTTTTCGATTTGAATTGTTATGAATCGAAACGCTTCGTTTCTCAGTTATCGTTTAACTATCGTCTCAGCAATAATTTCATTTGATGTCGTCACATCAGTGCCATTCGATTTTATTTCTTCGTTCATTCAGTGCAATTAATTCCTTTCTATCGTCATTTCCATTCGAAACTCTTCAATTTACTATTATGTCAAAGCGGGTAATCAGTGGATTCAACTCATCTCTATAAATTGCTTTTAATAATGTTATTAATAATAATAATACTAACAATAAAAACTATTTTCACATAGTCGATTCAATTTCTACATAGTAATATTTTTTCGCTTCGATTACCTACGTGATTGAATACATAATATGGCGATATGTTCATTAGATAAGATGTACCAGTTATCAAGCATGAAATATTGACAATGCGTTCTTATTTCATCGTATTTACGAGATTTTATTTACAACACATTCCATGGACATCTTTCTCATCTGAACCCACTGCTTTCATTAATGCAATTGTTACGTTGTTATTAATGTAGTTGCTATTATCATGTCTTGTTATCTAGAAAATCTTTATTCAGAAACTGAATTTTGCTCTTTTATCGTGTGTTTAATCGTTGATTTGAAGGTTTCATATAAGCTCATTTCGTTCTATTCATTTCGTCCTATCTGAAATGATTTATTTTGATAGCGTTTGATCAGTGCAAAAAGAAGACTAACTCAAGGAAGCGTTATCATGTTTTGAGTGACTTTAGAAAATTTTATTGATTCGTTGCTTGTTGATATTCGTGATTTGTTTATGGTCTATTACAAAGCTTGTATATTCGTTCGTTCGGTGCTTTAGCCATAAGTCGCACTATTAAACTTTATTACTTTTCTGATGTGCGTCATCCATTTATCATTTGCAGAACTGTGGCACTGGGATCCGTGTTCGCTGCAGGACGCGAAAGTGAGCTATTGATTTTGTTGGACGAGAAGAAGAAGAATAAATAAGAAGATTGCGACTTGCAACGTTAAATAGTAGATTCATTTCGCGGTCGTAATCTGAATTCAACAAGAGCAATAACAGACTTATCATCATCAAACTGCCATATCGTATTCGTTATCACCATCCTTACCTCTTGCGGAATTATTCTCAATAATAGTTTTGCTGTTTATTTAAACAGCTGACTCACTTTCAAATGTGAGTATTGTATAATTGAATTTTATTCATTTACAAACTCTACCGTAATGTATAAATAAATAAAATTGACTCTTATCAAATGAAACCGAATGAAATTTCGAAAAGTTTCATTGCATTGAGCTGTAGTGATCAATTATTTTATCAATCGTGGGTATTTGTTTAAACAAATAGATGATTTTCATCATTTAGGAACTAATAAATGCACACTTATTGATATGTGTAACAGCATTGTTGCATGTATGGTTTCGTCTTTCTGTTTTTGTGTTTTTTTATTTTCGTAGAATGAATAAATAGGTATGGTTGATTAGAAGGAGATATAGACTCTGGAAACAGTTGAATGAAGAGCTTTTGCACTCATTGATAGAGGACATTCAAAGGTGATACTAACTGTGAAGCAAAATTGAATATATCACTAACGTAACAATCGATCGCTTACTATTTCCTATCCTTGTTAAAGTGGTTGTTTTATTATTATTTTTGTTGTTGTTAACACTTCAGATCTAAGCTTTATCCTCTAGTTATTTCTTTTTTTTTTGCAAATTTCGAATTTGTATTTGCTCATTCCAGTCAATTCTGATGAGATTCAATCCGACTGTGCTTCGAAATGAAAGATTTGAAAGCAATCATACGAGATTTTGTAAATGAGTTATACAAAAAAGACGACTCTTCTGAATCTCAATAATATTAAACAATTTCTGCGAGCGGCTCTCATAAACCTGATGCTTTTCCTAATATTGCTGTTACTTTTTACCCAGTCTTTTGCTCTCAATAGTAATATATGAGTTGGTGATCAACAGCAATCAGTGAATGAATTATTTATAACAAAAACACAAACGAAATTTGATATTATGCAATCAGGTTCATAGATTCAAAAACACTTCAAATATTACTTGATTATCGCTGCACTTCGTAACTCTAACGGTATTCATCCACCTATCTCCTCTTCTCAGCACATCGAACCAAGCGCTGTTCTTGTTGTTATTCCATTCTCAGTTTATATTCTCTTTCGACAACAAATTCATTTTTAGCGTCATGCATCGCTGCTAAATATTTGTTTTTCTTTCTTTCCAAACAACGGTTTATGAGTCGTCTACTTGATCAACTCATTAAAGCAGTTTACTGGTGTCTCATCGATTTGAAATTTAATTGACATTCAAATTTTCGAGTTGAAAAAAATTGGAAATATGATTGAAAATAATATTTTTTTAACATAATGAGGAAAAAAGAAACGTTCAAGTTGCGGTATTGGAAAGAAAGATGATTGGTGATGAAATAAGTATTCGATTATGATTCAGATGCGAACACTGGGAACGCAGCGTGCGTTAAGTGGTGCTGGCAGTAGTACGCCTAGTGAAGAAGGCTTCGTTAGTGGTTGTTCGGCTGATGAGCCTTCTTATGTGGACAGATTAGGAATGGATCTCGGCTCTTTCACTATTACCAATCATCATTCGCACGGTACCAGTGTTCACAAACAAATTATTCTCTACTGGATGTTCACGATATTTGATTTTCGCTTGTAATAATGTTGATCAGTCAATTTATTTTTTAAGGCTTTTCACTATTCGACATTCAGCAATCCACCAACCACCAAAACTCTCTGCAGCAGAAGTGCTGTTCTGAAAGTGGAGCATCATATGGTGAAAATGAACGTAGTGCGATGCTTGTTGCCCACGATATGACGTAAGTTCTTCGTTTATTCATGATACATTTGATCAGGTGAGAAGATACGAGACGAGACGAGACTACTAGAAAAAAACATCATTTTCCTCATTTTCATCGAATAGAATAGAAGAAGCTAGCAGTATATATTCGTATGTTATTAGCGGTGATCCTTATTTTGGAAAAATTTACCCAGCCGCGTTATTAAAATTTCGTGCCACGGCTAGGCATTTCTCAGTTTCTGGCTCATATCCCGGCTCTGCACTTTCCAAAATTTCTACCCTGCGTTTTTTTTTGGAATTATTGCTCCACGTTTTCGGAAACATCGCCTCCAGCTCCGAAATTTTTTCTGCTCCACCTAGGTTGTGAGTCCCGAGCTGGCCGAATTCGAGAGGAAGTATGGCACAGGTCTTAGATCCGGCTAGTGAATATTGCAGTAGTTTTTTCACGGCTCTAAAGCTTAGGCATCTCTGGTTATTAGTTGACAAGCTTAATTTAAGTCTACATAAGCCATGAATATATGTGTATAAGTTTGATTATGATTGCGGACAATATTCGATTGTTTACGTTATGTAGTAATGAGTGAGCGAGCTAGGTACTTTACATAAAAGTTGGCGTTTGTTTAATCCTCATTCGAATTATCATCGAACAGATTACTGCAATGAATGTTGCTCTGTTGTTTCGAGCATTTCAGTGCTTTATCACAAAATGTTCCCTTTCACGTTAAGATCTATTACTTATACTAGTGATAACAGTAGTAATGATAGTAACGCTTATCATTGCTTGCAGTGATTATTCTATAGAATTGCTTCTGAACTGTTCCTTTGAATGAGTAACTGTTCGTTTTTTTCATAAAGCGTTCGTTAGTGTTGTTCGATTGATAAGAATATTTGTTTATTTGTGAAACGTTAGAATAACATTAACGACGAAGTAGTGTTCAGGACACTTTTAAAGGATTTGCGTAATGAGCAATAAGAAACGAACATTTCCGTTATAAAATAGTACTTTCAGAGAAAATCAACAGTCTTTCATATTTTAGTTTCGATAATAGTTCCATTTGTGAATGTAGAATGGTTTTCCTTAATGTTGTGCGGGGAGTCCGCGACCGTTTTGGAGCCGCGGCCATTTTCGGGGACTGTCCCCGTCCCCGACTCGTCTAGAATTGTCGGCGCTCTAGGAATTTCCCCGAAAAAAATTTAAATTCTAATCTACCACACCCTATCAAGCGATTCGAAGTTGAATATTTACAGAAAGGTGGAGTCCTAAATCCCTTTTTAGAGGTAGTGTTACTACATGTTTCTAGGGTCATTCTCTGTTCCTCTTGCATCGGTATTTACCGTTCAAATGAGGAATTCGTACCGAGATATAGATCATCACTGACATCGTTTGATGGCTGCCTCAGCTCTCTAATTCAGCTTGTTACAACATCATTCATTCACTCTTTTAGCCTTTACTTATTCTCGATTGGCTCGTCGATTGTTTCATGTATTACTCTTATTTAGAATATTCTCAGAAACGCAGCTATAAAATATATCTGTTTGAAATCATAAAATTATTATTGCTCTTTGCTGGTCCTATATGTTCAGTTTTTAATGATCGTTTTTATGATTTCATCGTCTTTTAGTTGTCTCCTCGTTAGCAAACTATTATGCTGTGCTTCCGATAAATTTGCCATCATTATTGCTGATTGAGTACAAGAACTTCGGTCTTGCTTAGGGTGATGGCAAAAAGCATTGCTGTCGCAGACTTTTGAAATACTGAGCAAAGTGGATTTATTTTATCATGAAAACACCTCGTGAAAATTTTCTCATCAATCAAATCACACGCTGCGTGGAACAGGCTGCTCGAACTTTTTATTATGAAGTAACATTTAAAATGCATGATGTGAACGCAACGAGTATGGAATAAACGCAATTGTTTCTGAGTTCTTCTCCTAATTACTGAACTTGTTGTGTTCGATTTCTGTTGCACCGAGCAGTGCCATCTTAAAAGTGCTCTATCACGAATTTCACTTCAATTTAATCACATCCTGAACCGCACCGTTTTCTTAAACTTTTCAATGTAGCTGTGAGATGGAATTAGAAACGCTAAGCGTTCTGCTGTTTCTGTTACACTTCCTATTCGTCGATAGTGTTTTCCTACCTGCGATCAGAAACATATATGCTAAATCGTATGCACAATTCGCTCGAGTCACTTCCAAAACTTTCTTCTAATAGGCATCGCAATCTTACCAACAATGCATATCGATGGGAATTGTGCGAATAATAGTGAATCGATAATTCACTGTAACGTAAACAATTTCAAACAGCTTGTGCATTATCCAGTCATGAGTAATGATGAATTTTCGCAAAAATGATGATCGTGGCAAAAACATCTCTGATCAATTTCTGATGAGCATTTGTTTTGAAGTAGAAGAAAACAAGGAGCAACGCTCTCTATCACTCCTTGCCAGTTAGCGCTCGATGCCATTTAAAAAATTGGATCCAAATCGAAATGTGGTTCATTTGACACAAATCTTCGGAATTATATATTTGTAATGATCTGATAAATTACGTGGTACAACAAAAACAAAACTAAACAACGAAAGATTGGAACGCTCCTCGACAATTGCAGTGGACCATTTGAACATCTTGCGCCAATTTCAGATGCGTTATTTTCGGCTGAAATTTTGTATGAAGTGGTTTTTCTAAAAAAAAGCTTTGAAGTAAAACAATTTTTGCACCAATATAGATCTGCCAATTGATTTCGTTCGATATCATCTTTTTTTCGTGTTTTTATCCGCCCACACATCTCATTGATTTTAATTTGGAAATCAAATGAATCTGGTTATCGCTGTACAGTTCTGACCTAATCAGTTTGTGCGGTATCATTGTCGACGGCTCCATGCACATTTTCTTCCCTTGAGAATTGCTGCCCTCGGGAAAATTGCCCTTCCCATATTTTTGGTTGACAATGAGGCTCGTAGAAGTTGCTATAAGAAAAGGATGTGAAAGGGGTTCCCTTGAGCGATCACGATTCATTCTTTATTCGGAAAAATTTTTTCCTAGAACAGTTCGAAGCATCTACATTAACAGCAGCTTACGCATTCATTATTTAATTAGTGCAGTAAGAAGCGATTAATGCGGTTTCATTTCTAATTGATTGTTGTCTGGAGCAGTTCTTTGATTTAGAAAGAAATTGCAATCCCTTTCCATGAACTGTTCAGACCTCCCACGAAATCTTCCCAGAAAATGTGCAATCTCGCGTCGGTCGATCGTGCTCATAAGCTTATTTGTCTTAGAACTGTTATTTCTCGGCAAATTCTAGCAGTATGCTGATAGCGTAGATTTGTTAACCTTTATGCATAGATAGTGTTGTGAATTTTTGTATGGCGCAGAGAATTTTTGGCATTTTTTGTTATATCCTCACGAAATGTTAAATGCCTGATAGCATTGTTGATTACGGCGTTATTATTTTTATTTGAACTTCTCGTTTGCTTTTGATGGGACTGATACTTCTAATGACTTGATTTTTTGCTGTTGAAGAAATGTCATGCAGCCAACAGCTTATGCATTTCTAAATACCAACACCCATGTCTCGTACGGTGTTTATCTGATCACCATTCATTCTATTTAGCACACGTTTCGTTTGTTATTATTTTTTGCTTCTTAATAATTTATTGCCACTAAAAAGCCAGTCTCTATTCTCGATTATTTTATATGCATCATATGTTTTATAAGGAATGCTTCGATAAAATGATTTGCTGATAAGTAATAATGAGTCTAGTGACGGTGAACAAAACAAACCGATAAAATGACCGAGCAACTGCGCCTAATTGTTGAGTGTATATTCTAATCAGTTAATGACGTAAATATCTCACTTCAGTGAGCGAATAACATCTGAGAGTATGCTCTCTGCAGCACCACTTCAGTATGTTGTTGATGCAACATCGACCCAGTTGCCGGGTTCATGGTTCTATGAGATCGGCTCTGACGAAACTTCTGGCTCACCAACTGGGGAATTTCACGATGAGTTCAGGTTTAATCAATTCACAAATCTTTTTCGTTTCATCTTCGACTCTGAGCACTTATCAGCATATTCTTGCGAGCACTGTTTTATATTTTATCACTAGTGATCAGTGGAATTTAGATCTGCGCTCTCACTTGGAGCTAGAAATGTGACAGAAAGCGTTGAGGTACCAAGCAGCGAACACGTTGCAGAAATTGTCGGTCGTCAAGGTTATATTATCATGCTTATATAAAATACTTTAGAATAAATGCCGCTGAAAATAAATACCACTGAATAATTTGCATTTACACTTTCTCCATTGGTGGGAAGGAGACCTTTGTGATAGCGATAATAGTTTGATTGTGTTTTTTAAAATGTTTGCTTTCAATAATTATCACTATTTGATAAGTGAAGTATGTTTTAAATGTATATGGTGAAGCTGTCATTTCATATTTTCCGACGAGAACCGTTATACAGACGTATTGTTTTTTAATCAAATATCGGTAGATAACACTCAGTCGTCAGTAAGCGCATTAAAACTTGCTCAAGTATGCAGCCAATAATCATGTTTTAAGGGTGCAAAATCAAAGCATTACGTGCTAAAACGAACACTTACATCAAAACACCAGTTCGAGGAGAAGAACCTGTATTTGTGGTAACTGGCAAACCTGAGGATGTTGCTGATGCAAAACGGGAGATTGAATGTGCAGCTGAACATTTCACACAGATTAGAGCTAGTCGAAGACATAGTCAAGGAGGTGCACCTGCTCCCGGACATATTACAGCTTATGTTAGGTACTGCATTCGATCATTTGTTTCTTATATATGTCAACAATAAAGGTGATGATTTCAGTCATGAAAACTTGTTTCAGGGTACCTTTAAGAGTGGTTGGACTCGTCGTTGGACCAAAAGGGGCAACAATCAAGCGTATACAGCAAGACACACACACCTATATAATAACACCATCTCGCGAGCGTGAACCAATTTTCGAAGTGACTGGCTTACCACACAATGTTGATGCAGCAAGGCGTGAAATTGAACAGCACATCTATCAACGTACAGGAAATATGCCAATCACCGATCCGAATGCCTCCATTCAGTCTTATGATATTCAGGTAGTGGACCTGTTTAGATTGTGCTTGTGCTTGTAACTATAATGATGAATTATTGAATGACAATATGCGATTTAAGGGAAATGTCACATCAACGGGTAGCATTCGTTCATCTGGAATGAATTATAGTGCTCTTGCTCAACAACCAATTCGAAGACAGTCTACCGTTGAGTCCCTCACAAATGGCACTGCGAGTGGCTCACTGTTGTCAAATGATTTGCACAAGTCCACTGCAAATGATCTCTTTTTCGACGTATCTGCGTTCAATAAATTGGTAAAATCACTTATTATGAGGAGAGATCATTTAAGAAGCGTGATAATATTGAGCTGTTAGTATTTTTCCAATGTTGCTGATGACGCAGTTTTACTGTTACAGATTCAGCAGTCACACGGTTGTGGTGTATCATCATCAGGTTCACCGCCTCCATCAGGCTCAGCGCCAACATCAGCTTCGAATTGTTACCAGTCCTCATCATCAGCTGCATCAACTGGCAGTTGCAGTATCAGTAGTGGTAGTGGAAGCAGTAGTGTATCATCGTCTCATTTGTTATATAATGCTCTCGATCTTTGCTCATTGAACGCATCGACACTACTCAATAAAACAACATCTCAGGTGGTAATCCCCCCCCAAACACAGCAACACTTCATCTCTGACAATGCATTATTATCATCACATAACTCCACACCTACACCAGCTCATTATCAGCCTTGGTCAGCTGTCTATTCATCTGCTGGTTTAACTGCTTCTAGTGCTACTACTGGCAGTTCACAGGACTTCAACACGAATCAGACGTCTACGAACAATGCTCTAATCACAAATACGCATTCGGGTAGGTTGTGTTTTCAGTTGATTTGAATCTACATTTGAATATCTATTGATGATTGTAATATTCAGCAGCAATTCCATTCTTGAGTTCGTCTTCAAGACCGTCACTAGGTTCTATATTAGCGAACATGGCTGGTGGATGCAGTGGTGCGTCGAATGATTGTGCCTCGTTCACTACCCAACATTCTTCATCACTTAGAGATGAAGGCATCGGTGAATCACCAAGCTTCAAGTAAATAGTTAATTTATTCCCGTTCTGATTTGCACGCATTGAATTTGTTTTGTTGATGTCATATATAATCAGTCGTTTGAATGAATGAATATCATTGAAGCGTTGGTGCATTAGGAGCAAAAAACAATGATCCATACCACTTAATGATGGCATCCATTTGGTCGGATCTTGAAGGAACGACTCGTGAACAACCACCATCGGCAGCCACCACTTCAGTTGATAATACGGCTGTTGCTACTGCGTAGCGCTTTGTGGTTGGTTTAGATGTACTCTACAGATGAAGGTTATATATTTTACAAATATAAAATAGATATATAAGTGAATAAATAATATCTGTGCTGTGCTTTTAACATCATTGAAAGTATAATTGTTGTTGTGAATGTGTCCTGCTTTCGTTCTGTCAGTATGCGTACAGTTATTCATATCCTGTTTTGATAAATCTCATTCACTTTTCGTTCACCACCTTCCTTCTCTTCTCTTGATCCAAAAAAGCTATCGTTTATCATTCATGCTAGCTTCTTGTTCATTCCATTATCATTTTTTAATCAGTCATCAGCTGTTTATTTATTTCACTATCGTGTTTCAACTTTAATCTCTTTCCTGTTCCACATACGCAGCATTCGTAAAGCAACTGATATCAACAATTGATTCGATTACCGCATACCCAATTTTTGACTCGTTCATCCTTTTCAATAAATCAGTATTCATAGATTTATTGAAGCATCCTCCAGCTATTTAAGTATCTTCAGTACGTATGCAGATAGAAATTCCCACCAAGTGGACAACTTGTTTAGCTCGGGGAGCATTTGCTGTTGTCATTTTATGTATGGTTGATATATTAACAGCTATCGATGAATGCTTTACTATTTAAATAATGATTATGATTGTTTGTTCTGGTTTTGATTGATTGATTTTATTGCATTGTTCGTTCTTGCTTATTATTATTATGACTGCGTTCAGTCATTTTACTGTTTTTCAGAGCAAATTTTGTGAGATTAATGAACAGATTGATTATTCCTTGTTTTAGCGCTGCTGCTGCTATTCTTTGCTTTTGCATCGTTACACATTTTCATTCCATCAGTGTTTCATTATTTAGATCCATATTTTCAAGTATAATGTTATAATTGCATATCTAGAAATGGATATGTTTGTTGATTTTTGTTCTCTATTTGTTAGAGCTGAGTTAACGGTGTTATAAGTTGTGGGTATATGATTCAAAGTATGTGCGAGAACGAAGCTATTTGAGTTAATTGTGCTTGATTAGTGCTTTTTGAGTAAGTGCTTCAAGAAGGTTGCTTACTCTACTTAAAATTCAGTTTGTGCGTTGTTGATTTTGTGACGTGTGTGTATGTGTGTTGATTTTGAATATCGTTTGTTGATCAATTCAGTCGCCTTTTCAATGAATTTTATCCGATAGCTATACGCTATGCTCCTCTCTGCTGCTACGTCCAACCATCGCTGTGACTGATCACTCACTGCTTGTAATGGTGAGAATCTTATGAGGGAGATTTCATCTTAATGAGTTCATTTTCATGCAGCATCTGTACACTAGTTGGCGTATTGATTGCCTTAATTCGAACTTTTCTTTAAAGCAGTTCGGTGGTTGAATTAAAATGATGTGGTGTGAGACATATCACCGTTCGTAGTTAATTGCACTTCGTTGTAGTTGGTCCAGACAATTGACAAGCGAAAAAATGAATTTTTGAATAAATAGGTACATATTTATATGGTTTTCATTGTCTTGATTTTGTTGTGACAGGTAGACAAGCGTTTCTTTTTATTAATAGGTCAGTGTATTAAATTATATTAAAACTTTGTTTACGCTTCATGTCTTACTTCATTTTCTCATGCGTAACAAAAGAGTAATTGTATGCTGGCATCAAGAGACCAAATTTTTAGAAAACACAAATGTCCACTAGAGTAACTTTTACTTCTACAATTTGGTGTCATCCTTCGAAAGGATGTTCTTCAAAAACGTCCCATATGAAATTTCGTTTTATAAAATTGGTTTGAAAAGACGCTGGGTCAAGTTGTTTTTCACCCAGGACGTCACAGTGCGCGAGTTGCTAAATGATCTTGATCTCACTTTCCGAGAATATGCCTTTCTAGCAGGGAAAAAGCTGTGTGAAAGTTCATCGAAAATTATTTGGTTGATGTGTCTTCGTTTTGTGTCTAGAGTGGTGGCGCTTGAAATATAGGTGGCACTGCCTTTCAACTTCTCTGTTCTGATGAAATTTAATATAAGTTGTTTGTAGTGTAAAGGGCAAAATCAAGAAAATTGTGAAATTAGACAATTATGTCTGATGGCGATTAAGGGGAAAAAATTTTGCCTTAGCGACTTTCTGAACGATGTTTTGAGGTGAAATTTCGTGCACCTTGTTTTTAGAGCAAAGTGAATCGTTTTGAGAAGGGAGACAAAACGTAGAAAATAAGCGAAGTCAGTATTGCAACGTAATACTGATGCGTATGCGGGAAAGCTCATATTATGGTATGATTCTAATGTATGAGTATATTTAACTTATTGAAATGAGTTGAAATAATTGGTTGTGTCTGCTTTCATTGATGATCATAATTATGATTGCAGTCAGTCTATTCGTTTTAAGATTATTCTACCTCTCAATTTGTTTCTTAAATCGTGTTCGTTTGTTTATTCAAGCACTCCTCGAATCTCTCGCTCCAAATTCTCAGTTCATCTGTTTTTTGCAGCACATCGTATATTACTTATCTCCTAGCACCCGTCCATCATCCCATTCACGCGAATATTGCCGCGGCTGCTGGTCAGTCAGAATTTAGTTCATTCATATTGAACATAAATTCTTTGTAATGGTGGCAACTAGCTCGCTTATTAACACTTATGTCGCAATTGTTTTATTTATTTACTCATCCGCTACTCTACTACTCTCTTCTTACAGAACATTGAGCTGTTGTTGTTAATTGATTGATGAAATGAGTTTTTTCTGAAATTCCTGGAGTAATTTTCAGCTCATTTCTGTTTTATTGATGTCAATTTGCTATTCACAGTTTTTAGAATTTAGCTTAAGAATAGATTATTTCAGACTGGTTTTCATCGCTGAATAATAAACTAACTGCTTAATCAGTAACTAAAAAAATAATAATGCAAATGAGCGTGGACCTATTCAACATTCATTTGTTTTTTTTCTATGCGTTTTTCTCTCAAATACTTTGAAGTATTCAGTATTGTTTTATTTGTAATATTAAATCGATTAGTTTGTACTGAATTGCTCATTTACGTGTAGATAAGCGCTCTCAAACGAACGACGTCCACCAAAAGCGATGATTTGTTTTATCAGGTGCTGACGCTTATCCTTAGTCGAAAATGGCTAAGTGATTTGTTATCGTTCCAATGCGTGTCGTCATTCTTGTTCACTCGAAATCGTTAACGCCTTTAATAGAATGCGTTAGTATTCGAGGAACGTCGACGATATGAAATCTCGATCCATATTTACCCATTTTGAAATCTCGATCCATATTTACCCAACCCATACCCATTTTGAAACACGCTGAGCGGTTGAAACGTATAAGGTGTGGTTTATTTGTAAGCGCCTGCCTCATGTAAATGAAAGAAGAGCCATAATCCAAATGTAATACCTGATCGAGTATATAATAGTTTATCGAAATATATGATATAAAATGAAGTGAATATAGTGTTTTATATGAAATACATCTTATAAAATGTATTCTTCGAGTAACGGTGTTCTTCGAAAATGTTCTCTTTATTATATGATAACCTCTCAAAGTGAATTGTATTATCTTCTTTTTAAAGTTTTCTTCTTTTCGTTATTTTGATGATGCAAACAAGGTTCTGTTGAATAATGCCTACTGTTACTTCATATTGTAACTTTTAAAAATTGAATCTTGTTGTGAACATGAATATTATTATTATATTATTCAATCATTTTTCGTTGTTATTTTTATTATACGTTAAAGTTTAATTATTCCAATTACTTAAAGGATGATGTGTATTACCTAATAAATAAATAAATTATTTGTTTGTTGACTTGTACTGCATTCAACAGTACACAGAAACTTGTAAGAAAAGGACGGCGTAATTTAAGGAATGTGGTCTCATTGGTCTTTGTAACTATCTATTGCTGATTCATTGATGAATTTCTGTTGAGTTGGTCATAAAACGTAATCGCCGTATCCATAAGGATAACCGGTGCAGATAGAATGGGAAAGGAGGAGTTTATATTTTCATCATAGCATTTTCTTAGTTTGATTCTCCAGTTTTATCACTTACTCGTTTATTTGCTACTACCTTTATCAAGAACAGTAACTTTGAAAAGGATCCGCACAGTTCCTCGTTTTATTTATGAAAGGCGTCAGCAATCAGTCGTCTTTCGATTTACTCCTAACGTTGTGCGAAGAAATGGTAAATTGTTGCAAGGGAGTGGTGGCCTTTCAGACCATCGAAGGGGAAATTTCGAAAACACGAAATTCACTATCACAAACACGTGAACTTTACTTTTTTTGACACCTCTGGCTAAGGGATAATAGGGTTGTGAACGGGGAGGTTTATCACTAGAGAAAGTTGTATTTCGGGAGATATTTTTGACGGGAAAGTGCCGCTTTTGGGGAATTGTCTGCTTTACGCGGAGTGCCGCAGAAAATGAATCACCTTCTCCTCACACCCTTCTCCCCCTCTCTCCTCCCAAAAAAAGGCAAATTCCATAATGCTATCTCAATTATCTTATCGAACTGTGAATGGCGCTGTTTGAAAGAACATTCTTCATTTCCTATAAAAGAGAACAGAAATGGGCTAATATTTTTGATAAAATTCACTCAGTATTCTCACAAAAACAAATCGTGTCATTAAGGAAATTCAAAACTTAAGTAAATAAACAGATCAATAATCCGTCTAGGGAGGAAGCTATTTTTCGACTTAACACGAAGGTTAAATACTGTTCTCCGAGTGGAGATTTTCGTTTTTCGAGAGAGAGAGATGGAGGTTTTTTTCGGCGAGGAGCATTGCGCTTCGGTACTCGTCGCCTTTCGCGAACGTTGTCACCGTTTTTTAAAGGAAAATTTCCTTCTGACGCCACGCTTAAAATGACTTATCAAAACTGTGACAATCACAAGCGTTTGACTAATTCGAAAAGCACTTCTCATTTCTCAAAGAACAGATGATAGGGACACACTAGACAACATATCTCATGAAACTACAGTTGTGCGCATTTTCGAAAACAATTCAACTCAGGAACACTTAATAAATTCCGGGAAAATAACAACGCAAGCACGCAGAGCGCAAGCTGAAGAGAAAATTTTCAATAAATCAAATTTTATTAAACTCATACATTATCATTCAACAAACAGTCTTAAGAATACGAAAAAAAACAATAAATAAATAAAATGTAAAGTGCTTGAAATAAAAACAAAAAAAGAAGAACAATAAACATATTGAACAAATCTATAAACATATTGAGCGTTCATTTTATTGTCAAACTGCTAAAAAAGTCAAAACTCATGATAATTTTAGATGCATGCAGATTCAATGCGTCATACCATTCTCTGAATTTTTAATACGTCTCAAAAACCAAAGTACCCAAATTACTTGAACAGTTGAACAACTCGAAATACATTCGTTCTGAATGATCGTTACGCTGATAAATTTGTTTACGAAGAAATTTAATTTTGTAATAGAATCAAATGAGCATATTAACAAGTGACAGATTCTGTATCCAATACTGCATGCTGAAAGCTAGGGGAAGACGATTGCGACAGTATACCCACTTTAATGCGTCAGAATCCTGGAGAGTACCACCGACAAATATCTTATCCATTCAGACTCATGTTTCCTATCTGTCACATCTCCTCTGCCCAAACTACGTACTCTTTCTCCTGTTTCTTTCCTCGCCTTTTTTCACCTTCCAAAACTTACTCTAATTTTTTCAGTATATTTTCGCAGATCGATAACACCAATGAAACGCTTTTAGTTCACACCTAATATTATCGTTTGTTGTTCAAAATAAGAGGATAAGACTTTTGAGCATCATGCTGTGCCCTCTGAGATGACCATCTCATCAAAACTTTTTCAATGTTCAATGCGGGAAATTCTGTAAATAAAGTGATCGATAATGCGCAGATATACGATAACAGCAACTGCACTATACACAACGCGACTACTGCATGCTTGCCAGAGTAGACAATCGGAAATGGCACCCATAGAAAAACGGCGAACACCATCACCAAATGGATGAGGTAAACCTGCAGTTATCATATAATAACAATGATAATAATGAGAAAAAGAATAATTTATGATTCAATGTTCTCACCGAATAGCAAAGTGAAGAAAAAGGCAGAAATATCCGTGCACTAAGAAAGGCATTCACAAATGCACCCTGATCTGCATGGCACATATAAATTAGTATTGCAATCGCAACTGCCCACAGAACACGGTGAGTTGCACCATATAAGACATGATACAAACGCCAGTTCCAGCCCTACAATCGAAAATAAACAACGCACATCGAAATATATGCATATTTACTTCATTATCACAAATCTGATAATGATTATCAACAATTACGAGTTTATGCTTCTCTTTTATCCTTCTTTGACATTCTTTTCCCCTACAACTAACCATAATAACGCAGGAAATTATTCATTTTCAGATCTTGATTGTTGAACTGACAATCGCAGAGGTATAGGGCCTATCATTAGGTAGTTATTTTGAAACTAATTTTCAGTCAGATTAATTTAAGGTTTAAAAGAATTAATCAAAATCAGAATGAACCTGCATGACCGGATAGAAGCCGTATAATGATATGATTGCAAACAGAATGCAAACAGACCAAAGCAAAAATTGCAACTGTCGTGAGTCTGTCGAACGTTCTTGTTTCCATTTTTGCATATTCGCTAATATATAACCCAAAACAATGCCCACAACATAGGCACCAATGCGATATTGTGGTTTTATGTAATACTCATCAACATGCTGTTAACATCCTTATGTCAATTCATTGTTACTCATATGGTTATTGTTACTATAGGATAATCATATTAGGAATTTGTAATTATCAAAACGAAAATGATATTTCAGAAACAATAATAATAGTAGTGTTAACCCTAGTGATTATACTAACAATAAATAATGAGATGATAAAACCTTCATAAAAGATCCTTTAAAAATAGATGGTTGATTATAAGGGATTGGTGACGATGGATAATCGTTGTTCAGAAAGAATAGCGATTGCAATAAAGTTGAAGATATGATCGTAAGTGACGACAGCGCTAAGCCAAACCAAACGCTTTTGGTGAAGGCAATCAGAAATATAGGTGAAATCAGATAAAAGATGAACTCGGTGCTGATATACCTTCAACATATTCATTCACTAGCTTATTAAAAGTTATCGTTCGGTGTGCGATTCATTCATTTGTTTTTTCTTTGCAGTCAATAACGTACTACTTGTTTCAGTGCGCAGCAATCAGTTAAATTTTGATGAACAGTGTTCATCTGAGAGAAGAAGATAAGGTATAAACCACTAACCATGTCCAACCCATGCATTCATTACCAAGAACACTGTTCAAGAAAAGTACATTCTTCCAACCATGAAGTCGACATTGAACAGATGGATCTGTTGGTTCCCACATTGGGTGCGAATGAAGTGATGATAACAAAAATGTTACAGTTGATAGCGTATATAAATATGATGGCCATAAACGTATTAAGCGGTGACGATAAAACTTTAACCATTTCACTATCCATTCAAACCATGTTATATAAGGTTGAAAACCTGAATGGAAATCAGTCCTGTCGCTGGAATACGTTGATAAACGTGTTGTTGTTGAGAAAAAAACTTTAAAGCTTTATAAACGTAACGAATGCAACGCAACATTGATTATGCACGGATAAAATTATATCGCATTGAATCAACAAATAATAAACAAAACAGATAATGATGATCATCCATATTTCATGACAAACCTTGAGATTTGTATTTTCGAAAATATGAGTACGATGTGAGGGTAGCACTGAGCACAAAAAACGTATCAACGCTGAGGGTGAAATTCGAGATGAGAACACTTGAGAAACCATTTGAAAGGTCATCCTTGAACTCATCCACATTTTTCACGTATCCCTTCAAGAATAGACGATGAAAGTGAAAACATAAATGCTAATTCAATGAAAATATTAAAGCGAAACCTGAATCCAGGCGAAAGAATGTCCAATCAACGTCCATAGCATTGATATTACTCGTAGTCCAAACATACAAGTTATCGTTGAATGCGCTTCTTTTGGAAATTCGACTAGCTTGCATAAATTTCGTTTCAGTGAAAACGATAATAGAATTTGGTTTGGAAATGAGCTGAAATAAAATGGTGTATATTATTGATCATTGTTGCTATCAAGAAATGCGCTGAGATTCGAATGAGTCATTAATTTAAAAACTTAACATTATGCATGTGTGGAGTATTTTTGGAAAACATTTCTAAGTAAAAAACAACTTTCGATAAGAAGTTAAACTAATACAGTAAATTCGAAATTATGGCTGAATACAGTTCCATATGATGCGACAGAAAAAGAAAAAGTAAAGAGAAAAGATAACATTGGTGACTGGAAGCATTCAGCATTCGAATGCGCTGAATAGCTGAATCGATCCGTCGAAGTTGCAAAAGCAACAATAAAAATCAACGAAACAATCAGAATGATTTGCCAGATAGCACCAATATTCAAAAACCATTGTTGTTTCTGAGATGAAACTATACATGACGCATACTTCATCAATTTCCTCTTACTTCCCAACATGACACTGCTCCATTCTTCCAACAACTAAATCATGCAATTCATGAACACAGTGATTTGTTCCGAGTCTCATCTTTTGTTCGTTTTCTCAAAAAGTGATTCAGAATGATCGAATTTTTGCATGACAAAGGGATTGATCTGCTAAAATTAATGTTTCCTTGTAACCGAACCAACAAATCACCATCGCACTCGCATCATCCGTGAGACAAACACGAGTTAACTGCTAAATGTATCATTAGAAAAAGCAGATGATATTTTGAGTAATAGTTCTATTATGATCACCGCTGACATGTAAAAGGCGTTTTACCAAGTCAACTCATCAACTTATTTGAAACATTATTTATGAAACGAATAAAGTGCTGATGGTGAAATTGATGCTGATTGATAGTAAAAAACAACACAATCAATGAGGGCAACATGATTATTGAATTATTTTTAGAAGTTCGAAACTTTTGACAATAATAAACCTCAGTTCGATCTGGAACACATTGACGAGGCACACATATGCCAATCGCAATAGCAGTGTTTATTGTTGCTTTGATGTGATCATCTTCATAACCATAACAATACGCACTCGATTCATTATGTTTTTTTGCTGATATAAAACATTTCAACATATTGTATGTCTGCAACTTTCATTCATTCATTCACTGCTTTCGCCTAATCGCATTATTCAGGCCAATCACAAATGTTGTATGATTGATGTACACATGATAAATTTCGTATTCTTTCTCAAACTGATTGATTTTAGTAGAATTTAAAGCATTAAAAATTACGTATCAAATAATTTACCCAGCGGTCTTCACTGAGCAGTTCATCATGAAATCCTATCGAAACTGTAGAGAAGGTTACATTCAACGTTGGTAGAGGATCCAGTAATTTGTTGTTGGTTTTTTCAAAGATCTATAATAAATGATAAGATTGAAGTACCCAGTAACTGGATATGCATAATAAACACTCAACTCCAGTAGATCAATTCATCACACAATTTATGATTCAGCAGTTAACAACCTCATTTTAGGGAAACTGCAAAAAATGGAGCAAAATTAGCATTAAACAAAAATGAAAATATAATGAGCAAAAAATTCAACAGCAACAACTACAACAACAACTCACTCGAGCGTATTCGTTTCTGCATTCGCTATTAATTGAATAATTAGACAAATTTTTTAAAAAGCTTGACTGATGATTACTATCAAGAAGACGTGCGAAGATGATATCTGTTGTAGAGACCAATAAAAGGGGCAATAGCAACCACCTGATGAACATCATAATCTATAAACGAATTATCAAAAAAATCCTTGAATTAACCCTTTTAACTGTAATATACAATTGTCTGATGAATGAGCATACTGTATAAAGGATAATTTCATTAAAATGTATGATTCGACGCTCCGAAAATTTTAGAAAATTTTTAATGCATTCGTTCTGCTGTACGGAATGTTCTCGTAGAAGCACATCCATATCATCGTTACAAGAAGAGGAATCTTAAGCAGTAAGCATCATACATAGCTATTTGCTAATTGATACCATTCCTCTGAAGTATGGCATAGCGTTTCCTTGCAGTTGCGCTTAGACTTAGAATTATATACTCTGACTCTCGTTTTGCAGTTTCTTTTTTTACTGAACACAGAAATACCGTATGACTTTTCGAACCTCCTTAAAAGGAAATAGTCCTCAAGTTGGAATGGAAACGTCGTTCTATGTCATTGACTGATAACCCCGGGCTCGTAACTGGCAGATCAAATATTTCGAAAATTTATTTTTGCTTTCATAAACTCAATAATTCGTTTTAGCGACGAATACAAGATAGGTTTACAGTGAATAGGAATGAGCATAACGAACAGATACGACAGAAGCATAAATAATGAAATAAACGATAATAACAGCTTATGTAGCGATTCATTTGCTTTAGTAACTTGATTTATAGACTCACTTTGTTCATTATTAATCTGAAAGAGCACATTACGATTCAATTATCCACACATAATTCTAGAGTACTCATCTCAGCTGAAGAGAGATGAATAAATGGGCTATCGGGTTTACGACTTCACAGAAAAACAAGCACACTTGAAAATGCATTAAGTGTTTCCTTCTGCAAAAATTAAGTGATCCTTTATCGATAGTTAAAACATGAATCTTCGGATAAGATCATTATTGTCAGTGTCTGAATATCTTATTCATATTGGTGGCGTAACGAGGATTTCTTCGGGGGGGGGGGGGGGGGGGGGGGTGGAGGAGGGCGCTAACTGGTCTGATCCAAAAAATAGAAGTGTATTTTTCTGCTTATTTTCTTCTTCCATCTCTCTCCCGCCCCTCTTTTTTTCCCACTTTCTTCTTCCCCTTCCCCCTCCCCTCGCTTTTTTCTTCACTTTCCCTTTTCTTTTCCCTTTCTTCCACCTTAAGGGGAAAGTGGGGGGGTGAGGGAGGAAGGAGGCGCATGATTGTACATATTCAAAGCATCGCAGTGGGATCTTATCCCATTTACACAATACACATCACTTCGAACTAATAATGAAACCATTTATGAACTCGTTAACGTCCTTCTTTTATCTACCTGTCAGAATAAAATCATTAGCCGTCTCACAACTAAAATGCACAGTTTCGTTCACATAGAACACAACCACTCGAAACATCAATAACATAAAAGGATACTCCTCCAACTAGCATATACGTATGCAGTCTTGTGTTGTGAAGTATGCATAAGCATGTCACAATACATCATCTATTTATGATCTGAAGAGAGTAGAAAGCACTTGAATAGAAACATTATACGAACAAAAACGGACATTCATACGACTTACTGTCATATGACAGTATAATAATTTCAACAGAATCAAATCATCAAGGATCGTATAAAAAACAAGCCGACGTCTTTTTCAGGAGAATTTCAAAATTTTCAACGAATCAACACTATAATAAAGATGAACAAATGGATGGCAAATTTGAAATGGTGTAGGATAAATGGGTAAGAGTATAAACTAGAGTGTTCATAAAATCGTTGCAGGGCTTCAATTTTTCATTTTCATTGTAACGTCAGTGAATAAGAGTAAGTTTTCGAAAAACTTATTTATTTAGACGTGAAAGTTCTTCATCTGTTATGTGATTTGCTCAGATAGTAAGTGGTGATAGAAATTTAAATTCTAAAAGATGGATTCGAAATAATATGTGCAAATTGTTATGCCCATGGTGGAACTCGACTGCTTAAATGATAGTGCAGTGAAGGAAACGGAGAAATATCCCCCACAAAACACTATCAGGAAACTTCACTAGAAATCCATGAAATGAGTAGTGTAAGGAAGTCTGACATTTGATGAATTGAAGGACGATATTGTGAAAGAGTCAAGAAAAATTGCTCGCCAGATAAGCTCTAATGCACATTGTTCTCCTTGTCGCCGACTGAAACGCAGCCTCGAAGAAAATAACGCAGACGGGAGACGAAATAAAAATTTTAATAGCTAAAATTATCTTATTGTTATTGGCATTATCTTCAGGTTTTCCTTCTTAACTGTAATGAACGTTTCGAATCCTGCAGTAAAACTGTGCATGTATACGTTAAGTCATTCCACTGTAAAGTGAATTGATTCACTTTTTCTCCCCATGCGACGTATTCACTGAATTTAGCGAGAGAAATTATGACGACAGAAATGTGTCAAAGCAGACTGGTTATTTGGGAGAGCTTAATAATTACGTTGCACATTTAGATAAGGATATCAACCGATTATGTCACTGTTAATCCAAAATTCGGTAAGCAATCGTATAATATCCTTCGTTTCGCATACGGCAAACAATATGCCCACTAATCACTTTTGTTACATAAAAAATTGCAACTAATAATTGATTATGACCACCAGTGTTATAATTATTGTTATTATCGCTACCAGTATTACTGCGTAACCGTGATTTTTATTGTTGTCAATAAAATAATTATCCCTTAGAGAATGAGTACATATAACTGAATGCGCCGTGCAAAATGTCCGTGAATGAAAAGATGAAACTTAGATGGGATCGGAACCTGGTACGTATTTGGAGCAACGAAAATCTACGCGGAAAAACAGGAAAAATGAGGAACCATCAGAAAAAACATGTTTGTCAAAAAAGTAAAAGTTGTAAAGGAAGTAACAGTAAGGAATTATAGATGCGAGGAGTTTCAGACTGACGTGAGCGCACGTACGTACAACCTTTACTTGAAAAACAGATTTGCTGTGAAAAATAAACGATATGATTATGATAGTGAATAAAATTTTCGAGTGAATATGATGAGTCGGTGAGGTGCGACTTTCGTATTTTGAAATTATTTCACTGGAGCGCGTTCATAAAATGTCATTTTTTCAGAAAACAGCATTCGATTGAAATAATATTTTACCTCAAATAAAACACTCGCAATCATTATTTATTCATGTTAAAGGCAATTAATAAAACTGCTCATGTGGTGGGCCAAGCATATCACTGAACAACGATATTTTACTGGTGAAATCATTCACTTGGAAACAACGAATAATAACACTTTATAATTGAGTGAAACGAGTAATATGCACATGACAATATTTAAAAAAATGAGTGACAAACACTGCTTCGATAATATAATTATCGAAATTGAAACAAATGAACTGAAGATTGGTGAATAAAGAGATGATTAATGCAAGCAACTGAACGTTAAAATGACAATAAACTGATAAATACAGCAAAGGAAATCTTGACGATTATTCCCACAACTGTTGGGGGCGTATTTTCATAAACTTCCAATTTCTGAGAGACACCAAACGAAAAAAATTGAATAAAACTATGAAGCTACAATCAGATATCATCGTGATAACTAGATCAGACAAACAGTTGGGAAACAAACAATATTAAGTTCGGTAAATGTGCATTATTTTTCAATAAAAGACGTCGCATTAGAAGTCTACCTCTAGAAAGTATGCCATTTAGTGATAACCTGATGAACGACGATTCGAATAACGAATACGAAAACATAGCTCATGTTCACAACAAATAAACATTTTGACATATTATACGTACTCTCTGCAAACAACACACTTATCTGAATACAACGGTACGCCTTACTGCAGTGAGCAATGGAACTGTGAAAAAATAAAATGATTAATGATAGATTAAAAGAATCAACAACAAATCTTTCATTTATAACGACGATATTTACAGCAGCTGATTGCAGTAATCTGAAAGTGAATAATAAACAGCTAAATGGTGATATCAATGATACATTTTGATGGAGCAATACCATGGACTCAAAAACAAAACGGTACGTAAAAAAGATGGACAAGGACTAATACTGATTTTAACAAATACGGTACTTTCGTTTTAATATTTGAACAAAGGAACGATCAGGCACAATTGGGACGTGATAAATACGAGCGGCGAACCAAATTGTAACCAATTGAAATAAACGCTTGGGAATGATTTGGATAAGAAAAACATACGCGATAATTAAATACAGTTGCTCAAACAAAATAAACACACTTCAGATGCCATCACTAAAATCGCGTGGTCCCAAAACAGGACGAATTGGTCCTTTGAGTGTAGATTCGCCATCTTCAGCGATAACTGTCATGGTTGTTCTCGAATCCAAATCGAAATGGCCAAGCAATGATGCCATTGCGTCTGATTCCGAACGGTACTCCACCTTGATATAATTCATCATTCATTAGAAATAACATCGTTTACTAATAGTACATTATCAAACAGTTTCCGATAGGAAGATAGACACTAGATAGATAGGAACTTACCATTCACACAAGCATAATGACTTCATCTTAACAAGAACCAATGAATTGGAAAAGTCGATTAAAAACTTGAACTGATCGTGAATAACACTGAGCTCATTCAATCATTCCATTGCTTATGTTTCAACAATTTTGGTTCACATCAACAATAAACAGCATATGCCACCTTTAAATTGGTAAGATGTGCTGATTGTTGTTCTTCTCGCTCTTCGTCGAAAAACTCGCTGACATCACGATCAGAATCTGAGCAAATCGACGTATTGCAACTGGAACTGATTTCCTCACCACCCCATACGTATAAACTACGTTTCCAAATACGCATCTAAAAGTTGCCCATATGAATATCGAGCACTTAAAAAAAGATGCCATTTCAAAAAAAAAAACAATTGCTAGCACAAATTTTCAAAAACTTGCAAGCAAAAGAAATAATATATAAAGCGAATTATAAAAACATTTTGATCAACAATATGATTACATTGTTGATTGGAAGGATAGATAGGAAGTTAATAAATACCATGAACCGGTCATCAACCTAATCTGTGGTCGAAAAAGAAATGGATTGTTCAAGATGAACCTGTGAATCCCAAGATCTTCTCGAATAGTTGATATACTTATTGGGGGTTTTCGGATGATCATTCTGACGTTGTCCCTTCGGAATCTCAGCCAAATACCGCGCATAAACGGGTTTTTCCTTCGCTTTCGCAATTTCCTGCAAGTGTAGATTTCTAACAAAAATACAATAAGAACAAGATTTTTTGAAATTATAATGTCTTCCGTCAAAATATCTTGCGAAACAAATATCTAAGTATCTAAGTACGAAATTATCAGATTTTTATAGCAACACAGCACTAGAACATCAAATGGAAAATGGCTCGGAATCAGTCTGTTTGAAATATATTTTAAGAGCAACCTTCGTACGACGTTCAATGACACTTTCATCCGTGCACCACCCCAATTTAGGCGTAAACACCGATTTGTAATCGAATTGCGTTTCTGGATTCATGTTCTCACTTGTACTTCTGTTTAGTCTGCAAGTAACGATTGACAAAAACATCTCGATCACCCACATCACTGCTTCTCAACCTCCCTCCTCGCACCCCCTAGAAAATTTTAAGATTCCTCGCAGCCCCCACAATAAATGTTAAAACGTCCTCGCACCCCTAACGACATTCACTCTGTATCTCTCATCCAGTACAGTGAGTGTTTATAGTATAGATAAGTGTATACCATTAAAGTATGTTCTAGCTTTTTTTTAAATGTACATTAAAGTCCCCCTGACTTTCTTCATTCATAAATATGCATAAAAATCCGCCTTCGCCTATTCTAGTGTATAAAACGAAATATCACATCGCACTTTCTGGAATATCAACTCGCACCCCTGGTTGAAAATCTTGACCTAGATCAAATCAAAATCAATTATTGAGTTACGATTTATATTGACTTTCTTTTGTTGTATCGTTCGCGTGTGAGCACAGTGAAACTCAAATGAGTAGAGAACAAACGGAATTAGCAATGAATGATGTTCTATAATGAGGAGAGATGCATTGCTAGACAAAGCTGTTCTCGGGGTTGATAAAAAAATTATTACAGTAAATAAAGTCAAGAAAACAAGCCTTTGAGGAGTGGTCCTCTTGGGCGTTGAGCATGCTCGAGCTGGGGACTGATTTGCTTTGGCGGTTTTTTTGGGAGGATAGCTGACTTTACGATGAGATGATAACTCTCCATGTACACATGCATCATCTTCATCAACTGTAATCGTCGATGAACCTGAGAATTGCCGTTTGCGAGCAGGACGATCTGACATTGCTTTCTAAATAAATTGAAGCTTAGTACCATTAGTGAATTGTTCATAAAATAAATGCATGCACAGACACAGCAATGTCAAAAATCGAAAAACAGGTCACCCGCCCGGCTGCTCAGGTCATATTACAATACATAGTAACGCATACCATCAGCCAGTTGGTTCATCGAACCACGACGGAAACAAACAATAAAATCCAACAGTCCTCTTTAGGGCTAAATATATCAGTAGTGATGGTGGACAAATTGTCTTCGGAGTTACTGAACATAATCAAGTTCAAAAAACAACTGTCAAGCTGAAAGAAGCACTCCATAGAATATCACTGTCCAACTGTCATACCCTAGGCAGTCAACATCTGCTTTGTAAGGCACTCAATATGCTGAACGCTTCCATTATGTTTCCAAGAAACATGACAATTCCTGTTTGAGATATCTGCACCAATAAAAATTTGAGAAGAACATACTAAAAGCTGTCCCGTGTTTTTGGGGAATGCTGAAATTGATGGTGCAGTTGGCTGTGGCGTTGCAGTAAAAAAAGTGATTTTGTTAATTCGGTGACTGAATTTGGCTCCCTGGACAAACGGTTGGCATGGGTTAGGATCAAGAACTGCAGAATTAAAACAGCGTGCATAATCAGCACATATGCGCTTACAGAAGGAGCTGCGAATGACGAAGAAAACTCATTCTAGTTCCGAGAAGATTTTAACAAAGTTAAACCAAATCAATTGTTGGTGGTGAGAACTTAGGGTAGTGCTCCTATCGGAAGAAGAGTCATTGAACGCGCTCGGAAGGTGGTATGTTCCGTCCCGAGAAGTAAACGACAACGAGAGAATACCGCTCGACGCGTATGAACGCAGAGGTCTTTTAACTTCTTCAACGTTGAAGAGAAATCGGGAAAAAAACCACTATGTTACGTTTTGCAGAATTGTTGAAATCAGCATGAAAGAAAGACGAAGAAGTGTACATCTAAGAAATCAAACTGACTACATCCTCATATCCAAAATTGGATACACACGGTCAACAGATCGCAGAGTAACTGGAATGCACCATTCGACGCTGATCACACACCCGTATCGCTCAAATTTCTGAATCATCGCAAAATACGACAATCTCCGCATCTTGACTACATATCAGCATTTAAGCATGAACGAACTGCCGGTAACTAGCCGCAATCAAAGTGTTCTTATGTATCAAGAACAATGATGAAGATCTCAACTCCGCACCCTTCAAGAGAACACTGCTGTCCTGCGCATGACATGACCTACCAAAATCACTGCACTAATCAAAAAGGTGGTTGTTAGCTTGGAATATTAAGCATCTCGCTACGAAAGTATTTATTCTTAGGTATTAAAATGAGCAAAGATAGCTCGAGTTAAAGGGGCTCTACACAGGCAAGTGCGCAATGGTAATGAAGAGGAATGGAACAAGAAAATCAAAGAAATGAAAGATGCGACCAAGTCAGGAAACTATTCAACCTATTGAAAATCTACATTGGAAAAGTGAACTGGCAATTCGACTGCCTAGGTATCGAAAGATATAACAAGTTGATAGTAAGTAAAAAACGTATTAATCATTGGAAACCTCATTTCTGCTAAAGTGTCCTAAACCAACGGGACCTGCACTAGATCTCCAGTAAAATGTTGCTTATGATGTGGCTGCTAGTTCACCATCACTAGGAGAAATTACTCCGGCAACTCAATAATCAAAAGATGGAAAAACAGTGGGAGATGACGATACAGCACCCGATATGACTAAAGCATTGCTATCCTCTGGTTTGAACAAATTGTAGAAGTTACTGCGAAATATCTGGGAATCTGCAGAAATACCAACAAGCCGGGAAAGTGCAACAATCACTTCCATTCATATATAGGGTAGCATAACTGTCCCCAATAATTACAGAGGAATATCTATCACTCCTTTCAACACTCTACAAATTACTCGAAAGATTTATTACCGACCCACTGTGCTCGATGCGAGATGAACGAAGAGGAGAAGAACAGACTAGGTCCCGCGTTCGCCATTCAACAGATAATCAAATCTTCAGTCTACGGCCCGTTATCGAAGGCCGATGTCTGTACAATTACTCTACTTACATCGCTTTCAAAAACATTCTGTCAAAGCGCCTTCCACTCCCCGTGCTGTAGTCGTCTACCTCAACTATTCCGAGCTAATGGCATCTTGTTCGACTGATAGGCAAATGAATGCGTGAACCACTGCAGTGATACGAAGACAGACAGGCATAAAACAACAATTCAATATTAACATGGATGCACGCAACATTTCTGTTCAATTTTATAACTGACGAGGTTTTAACGCACTGCGGACTACTATGACAGCGGCATTCAACTCTACCCGTTCAATAACATGTAACTGATCTGGATTATGTTGACGATACTGTACTTTTGGCAGACGACCCAAATGAATTACAAAAGGCAGTTTCAGCTATGAGCCAGTAAGGCGCCAGCTGTAGAGAAATATAAAAACTATCTAAAAGTAGAATGTTATCAACGAGTGTATCCAAAGAAATACATTCTGTAGTGGTCAACAACAAAGAACTGAAAGATACAGAAAGTTTCTGCTATCTCCACTCAATTATAACAATTCTGACGTGGAAAAAAGAATTGCACTTCTGACATAGAACAAAGAATCGCGAAGGCACATAGCATTTTTGATCTATTGGTTATGGTCAATTACAATCATGAGCGAGATTAAATTGAAAGCGTATCGAACAGCCATAGTCCCGACATATACGGACTCTACTTGGACCCTCACAAAAGCATTGAATAATAAATTAGATATCACTAACAGAATATTTTTACGTGAAATTTTAGGATGTATTTGGAGAAATAAGAAAAGAAATGATTAAATATATGGAGCATTCAATGAAGCACTGAACATACAACGTCAATCTCATATTAAACCATCTGAAAGAGCGCAGGAAAACTGGCTGAAGCTCGTTAGACATATTTTGAGGCGTGATTTCAATACGATAGCGAAATCATCGCTTCTGCATGAACCACCAAAATGGAAACAGTCAAGAGATAGAAAGCGATTGATTTAGTGAGAACAAATTAAAAGCGATCTTGAACTGGCTGCATTTAATGAGATAATCAAAGCTGCAACGCAGCAACATTCTACAGTAAGTACAATCATCATGTGATGAAGAAGAGCTGGCTGAATTTCATTGATGTCCTATAACTCGGCTGACAACTTGAGAATGAAAGAACTGCTTTCGTGAAACCGTGCATTTGAACTGCTTGGCAGTTATAGACGTTATTCAAAGATTCAATTATTAGCACAGCCGCTCACTTTCGTTCAACAAAAGCTTCAAGAAGGGTTGAATGAATTCTGATGCCCATAAAGGTATTGTAATTATTCGATTGGAACAATTTAAAAAACAAGATACTTCTCGAGAAATACATCACGAATAAAAATTTACACTTGCTGATTTTGCCAAACGTCGATTGCGTGTTTCAATTCTAACCGATTGTCGATTCCCATTATAAAACGCTTCTGTTAGCTCCAATGAACGTACAAATCTGAAAATTTGTTGAAGACATTCAGAAACCTATGAATCACAGTTCGTTAAAAGTTGAAAGACATTCAACTGATCACAGAACCAAATTCTGCTTCATCGATACGATAAGCAATAAAATCAATATGGATGTTCGGAATCGAAGGACGGCTCGAATCGAATGGTTATATGAGACCAAAGAGCGAAGTTTTTTACACTGACATCATATGAATATAACTTTTTCGATTAAAGAGTTTTCGAAAAAAAGAATGACCACTTGATGAATTTACATGGTGTTGTTATTCTATAGGATGGCATCTGCTGCACAACCACAGTTGATATGAAAGAACTTAAAGCGGTTTGAGACAGTTCCGTTTCCACCGAGATCAACTCAAACAACCAACACTTCCGCAAATTCGGGAAGTTTTTCATATAAGTAATGAAACAAATATACTTGGGTTTGGTGCAAGAGCGTTTTGGAGAAGACGGTTTACGGCGGTGTGGAACACTTCTAGTCTTCTTTTCTTCCTCTTCTTCAACGATTTCAGCCCATGATTTATTCAGAATTCCTTCATCTTCGAACAATAACTACAATTCGCAATGAAATTTTAAACTCGTCATCCTCATTTCATTCTTTCACTTAGATAACTATAATTCAGTAGGCAATTGCAATGCAATACAACGCGAGCAAACAAAAAATAAACTACTAAAAAACAACTTTAAAATGGCCAAAGTCAAGGAATCAACCAAAAATTTACCTTGACAGCTGATCCACTGGGTGTCGAAGTTGACTGTGCTAAACTTGATGCTTTTTTGATTGGTGTTTTACGCTGTGGAAACAGAAGAGATGTCGCACATTTGACTGGAGATTTGGATGATGATATCTTGCAATTTTTGCGAGGCGACATCACTAACAACGACTAAAAGAAGCATCAATGAAAGCAACTGCTCATAGAACATCACTAAAAATAATCATTTCAAGTCATATTTATAATTATATGCGCAAGAATCGGCGACGTTATTTTCGACGAGAATCATTAAGCTTGAAACGAATGCATTAAATTAATGCAGGCACTGAAGTTGTAGTTGTTCGACAAGCACGTCCACGTCTTTTAGTCAGTTACGGTAGAATCTGAACATACATTCAATGATCTGCCAGCTTTCACAAAATTCACCAAAACTCCCTAACCAACAAACACATTTCATCTCATCTCCCGCATCCATGTTCACAATCCGCAAAACACACCTTGCATCTCAAATTGACTGATTTCGCGCCATTTTCGGTTCGCTCGCGTGCGACCGAAGGAGAGAACATTAAATGCGCAATTCAAACAAGGATAGACAGAGAGAGAGCAATCGGTCTGTGATTATTACAGCAGCACTACCAACTACACTGTGCCATATATGACGATAATGCCCTTTGTTGTGTTTTCGATATATCGCAGTTGAGGTCGCCTGTATCCTTAGGTTTAAAGGCCTCGTGATAACCACCAGGCACGCAACAAATTACGAATTATTTCAAGCATTTTGCTACTTCTTGCATAATTCCACACAAGTTTGAATTGAATAAAACGAAAACGACCATGGAAGCCTATGACATGGCTTCAAACAATGGACAATATCCATTCAGACTTTCGAACAAATAATATCCTCCTTAATCTGATTGTAACAAGAAACTCCGATGTTACTGGGCAAAGTTGAGAGCCACAGAATTGATATGGTTTCCAAATCTAAGACCTTCTGGAAATGTATCTCGAATGCAATGTATTCAACTTCGTCTAACCCACTCTCTCATTTGTGTCATATTATATTTTCATTATGCGCCTACCGAGTTGCATTATTTATCGTGGTAAATGCATCACTAAGTATTTTGCAAAAGTATAATTAAGTTTTATGATTTTAAGGTAAACATTATGGCATAAGGTTTGGTTTATGATTTTATTGGCCCTAAAGAGGGCCGTTGAATTTGAGGTATGCTGTTCTAGCCCCATATTATATGGGGTACATATCCGCAATTTGCTTCCACAAGTTGTGCCGGCAATCTTCCCCTCCAAATTCTTTCTTCCAAACGAACTGTTCCTCGTAGTTTGCTAATAAACCGCGATCAGTGCCGAACCTGGACTTGGATTTCTTTACTTTACTATGACGGATTTTTGCAATCTTCGTGATTCAATTGAATAATGCTTTCTGAGCATTATTCACTCAGTCGTTCATATTTGTTGCATCATCATTTGGTTTGATTTGAGACTTTGAGCATTCATCCGTTTGATTCGCAAAATTTTTTTGATGTTTTATAATAAGACTGAACAGTTGAATCTCACAACTGATGTTGTTTTTGTCGATGACAATATGCATGTTTATTGTTTTTGAATCGTTTTGTCATGCTTCATTCAAGCAGATATAATGTTATTTCGCGATTCATTTCTGCTAGTTATGAGTTTGAGTATTATGATATTTGGAAGATCGGGGCGATTTTAATCAAAATAGGGATTTTCGATCAGAAAGGCGATTTTGATCAAATAGGGATTTTCGATCAAAAAGGCGATTTTGATCAAAATCGCCTCGAAAAGTGAATAATCTATGAGACTAGAATGTTGTGGTAGTATGTGTGATACCTATTATTTGATGTCTTTTGCAAGTAACAGTTTAAAAGAATTGAAAAAACAGAAAAATTGAAGTATAAAAATTAAATTAGTGATTATTGATTAATTAGTGATTGATTAATAAATGAATCAGGGGCACAACTGATTGTATCAGTAGCAGCTGTATACGCTGCATGCATCTCATTCAGATGGTCTTACCCTCATGTTTCATCAGCATTAAGGTAATTCTTTGCGTTCATGTTTTAGTGCAGGGTTTCTCAACCGATGATGTTCGCACCCCCAAGAGGTGCGAAATGCTGTTCCAAGGGGTACGAGTTAAGGTTTTAGAGGGGGGTTAGCTCAAACTATAAAACAGATACTCCCCCAGACAGAGGTCTTCGAATAGGAATCACGCAATAGTCAGATTATCACTAACTGTGAGCAACATCGGTGGTAGCTTTGAAAACCACTCATATTTACAAGTGTTTTTAATGATGAACGCTTTAAAAAATTTGCTCCTAGAGTCACTATAATGTAGGTCTAGTTCAAGTCTTCACTAGACTTCAGAGGAGTAGTGTACAAAAGCAGGATCAAAGAGGAAGAGTAAATAATTACAAACACATTTAAGATTTTACGATTAACCATATGTAACATACTTTAAGAAATAGTTAGACACTGAATAACTCAATGTGATCATCGCAAGCAAAAACGAATCTTTCGGAACGGTTCGATTCAGTGAAATACAAAACACTGAACAATGAGCAACGCATCACGAAAATACTATCCGATTTCTAATGAAAATACCGAAACAGTAAATAACAAAATGTTTAACTGAAAGTAATTCACTGTTGATGACAGAAAGTACAAACAAATGAAGCGATCAAAAATAAATCGACCAACTTGAAGAGATGATGAAGCTTTTAAATCAATAAATAACTATAAACACAAATAATAATTGGTCAAACGAATTTTATCGAGAGGATTGAAGAGCTGAATCATTATTTCATGAAGTTATTAATATCAGAATATTGATAAACACAAAGTTGTTGGTTCATCATTTAAGACAATATGAACAAACAAATATTAAATGAAATCATGCACGACCACCATCTATGACTGTAAAGCACTCTTGATGCTTAATAAAGATTCAATCTCGTTATCAATACTCGGATTACTGCCATCCTGTTCAACTGCTTTGTATCGTTGCAGTAATCTATCGATAGCCGTTACCCCACAGTGTACTAACTCTCTTTTACGTTGACCACTTGTCTTTTGTATCAGCAGATTGCAACACTAAAAGACTGATCTCAACAATTTTGAAATTAGTGCAACAGGAATTCATGAATCCAGTGAAATTGTAAAGTGATGGAACGTACCATAAGAAGGCCGTAAAGTGAACGAACACAAGATGGATTGATGCGAATAGCGTGTTCGAAATATGCTTTCGCTAATTCCAAATTCTCTTGACCACCTTGGGCGTACCTAATTTCAGCCAACCGCCGTAAATATAAGCTGTTGTGAGGCTGAAATCTGCATTTTATAATGAAAAATGAACGCAAACTGAAATGATAAGAATGGTAGTAACCTTTGGTCAACAAAGTTTTGATAACACAGTTACGTACTGGTTGATTCACTGAGAAGCGACACAATAATGCACTGTTTGAAATGAGTTAAAATGTGCACGGCAGTTCGATGCAAACTATCAAATACGCTTACTACTACTCAAAAACAACTGACATTAGCAAGTAGCAGCTCCTCGTTACAGTGCACAGCACGAGCGTAGTCACCTTCGTTCAAATACAGCTGTGATAACTCAAGCCATGCTTCACTGTCATTGAGGAACGTCTTCAAGTATTCATTCAGCTCCTTTATTGCGTCTTGTCTTTCACCTTTCACTTTCAGCACTGCTATTTTCCGTTTACGATAGCACTTCAATTAATTATGAAATTAATAAATATTATAACAACAACTTGAAATAATAAGTAATGACAATTCCATGCAACTTCATTAATGCAAATAAGCGAAACGATTCAATTGGGACTTTAAGCCAACAATCATATTTTCAATAAGAGATCGAACAACTACGACCAGCAACAGCATCGTATTAATGCATATTTTCATTGAACTTTTATTCAAAATTTCAAAAACTGTTCACTGACCATATTGGTAGGATCGGATTCGATCAGTTTCTCATACATCAATAGAGCATTCTCGTATCTGCAATCATTTCGAATTAATTTTGCTAAAAATTTATTATTTTCACCGATGCGAGACGATACTGAATATTAAAATGGAGTGCTTACAGATGCATTCTATAAGAATAAAGAAGAAGTACCGTTGTAAAGCCTCGAAACGCATTGCTTGAAGTTTGAGAACACGATTACTGCGTGGAAATTTTTGCTGTAACGCTTTAATACATTCAATGGCAACATCAATACGAGCACAGTCCAATGCCGCAATGCACACCTTAACATTCACAGTTAACCAATTGCAGTGCACAACGAACCACAAACAATACCTGTTCATAAATAAGCCACAGTTCATCGCCTAATGAGCGTGGATAACGACTTAACACATATTCCCACAATTCAACTGTTTCTTCCGAACGTCGTACATGATCCTCACGCCACTGACGTAGCACACTGCGTGCTTCTAATATTCATTTGATAAGACATTAACGCTCTTAAGAGATATAAATCAACTCAACAATATTAGTTCCATATCAATTAAATATACAAAACTCAATGCAAAACAAAAAAACACGAAAAAAAACTCGCAAACAATAAACGAACCATCGAATGATACACCAGTCCAATCTTTTACTTCACACATTTCAGTTCGTTCTCTTACGGCTAGAAAATTACTTCTTCAAAAAGCGATGCTTTTCCAAATGATAAATATTAATTCATATGGAATTGCAAACAACTATCACATACGACAATGTTAAGTCATATTCTTTCGCGACAGTTTAGTGGACTCAAAAGTATTTAACAGCTTATCGGCAGTATGTTATTGTTTCATTCACACATATTTTCTCAACCGCATTCCATGTGAGAGCAAATCACACACTTTGCTTAATCTCAACTCTCTCAATGTTTCGTTATGTTTTAGTCTAGAGGCTTAAGTCCTCTCTACAATTTCAAGAACGCTCATTTTTTGAAGTTGGAGCACTCTATGGTTTACCTTGAAATGTATGAAAGATGCGAATTTCATCGACAACTTACGTTCATCAATTCGCTTCTTTGAGGCGATAGCGGTACTTCGTGATGATCGATTTTTGTTTGTGTTGCCATCCATGTTCAAATTTGTTAATGACACTGACAAACAAACCGTATCGCTAAGCTAACCGATTAGATATCCGTTCAAATCTGATTATACTCGATGACAATCAACCAATATCTACACCAATACAAAAATTTTTGTTAAATTTCAAATGACTGCATAATACGACTCAAATAACGCGAAGATTCTATAAAGTTGCGATACGCCGAACGCACGTTCCGAATTTTAAAGAAACAGTGAGAGCAGTAAATAAAAAGCTGAAATATTTCAACGAAGAAAGCATTTGATAAGCGATATTAGTAAAGCGCTATCTTAAATGAAACAAAACGCATTAAACGAAAGATGGTTTATTGTTTGAAGGAATATGAATAATCAAGCAGTCAACACAAACACGCATTCCAACTGATACAATGAAGACAAGAAACAAACTCACTGACTGATCTCATTAAATGAGTATAAAAGGACGGCATTTAGAACAACTGTGATGTGGACAGATGATGAATCAAAAGAATATTCCAAGTGGATGAGCATACAAAAAAAAGATGCCTTCGCAGAGGTAACGGAAAGATTACAAATCAGAGCAAAGCGTATTGAATACAATTGGTGGTATGGCATGATTAGAATATTATAACGGTCATAATAATGATGAACCTCGAAGAAAACAAAATGAGCAAGTAAAGTTTTTGAAATGAGCAACGAAGATGTGACTAAATGAACAAAGAAGAAAGAAAGTTAATGATTAGATTACAACAAAGCTTATTGACCAACAATGAATGACTACAAATAACCTCAGAGCAACAATCTTATGCGTAGACATAAGTTGAATTATAAATGATTCCAAAGAAACACACTCATAAGATGTTTCATTAAATATACATACACATGCATAAGTGTTAAAATGCGCTTTTTATTCGACAAAATATTTTTAAATGTGAATCGTGGATGAAGAAAAAAAATACAATTGACTAGAAACGATCGATGATTTTCAGTTGCAAACAAAACTAGTGATATACAATAAGGCGCAAACTTGAACTCGCAACATATTTTAGAAACTGACCAGTAAATTATTGATATTGTTACTACGAATGGTTGACGATTACAAAAGTACAGCAAGACAAACGGATATTCATGTAAATTAATGCAGTTCATGCTTTGAACAAGCCGAAAATTCGACATTAATGCAGATGATTGGCACTAATCGTTCACTATACACCTAATAAAATCACCAACCAATTTCTGATCCATTAATTTTCGGATAACTGAACTAATTCTGAAGTTAAACACTTGAATATCGATATCTAATGAGCAACTAATAAATGAACATCAAATTCTGAATTAACAGATCTGACAAAGAACAAAACCAGATACAGATACATATCAAATCGAAGGCTGAAACTGACACAAACAGCAATATAATTGAATCAAAAGAAAATATCCCACATCTTAAGTTGTCTACTCATCACCTAAGCAATGAAATGAACGAAACATTTGAGGATAGCAGCACCTAAATATAAACTGAAATGGCATTCAACCAATCAGTTTATTAATCCATCGACGGGTATCTCCATTCGCTTAGCGGTTCCCTCGTTTCTTTAATCACCAATGGCGATGACCATCGAAGTGCATAATGTGGACCACCAGCTTTATCATTTGTTCCTTGAATTATGAAAAGCTTGAAAGAGTTGCATCAATGCAATGTATCTTCAACGATACATAATTCTGAAGCGGATCAAGATAAACTCTGATATGAAATAACCAAACTAACCACTCATTCTAGCACCACCGAATGGCTGCTGACCAACAACAGAGCCAGTCGACTTATCATTCAAGTACATATTACCAACTGCATCACGCAACACGTCACGTGCCTTATACAGGAATTCCCTAGAACGACAAACAGCTCCATTAGTAGCGAATATTAATCAAAAACTAGTGCTTAATCAGCACGAATAATAACGAAAAAAAGAGATGAATTTCACTGCTATGAAACGAATGCTCATTTGACTTAAATGTAACGCTAACCTATCTTCAGCGAAAACGGCACCAGTAAGACCGTATGGAGTGGCATCTTTCACTTTTTTAACAACATTCATCGCATCACTATCTGGATAAACATATGCTGTTAAAACTGGTCCGAATATCTCCTGAAAAAGAATTACCACTTTAAAACTGGCTGTATAAGCATAAAATAAAAGAATACAGCAACTAAAGCAAACCTCGGTAAGTAATTTTGAATTCCAGTCATTAACTTTAATCATGGTTGGCTGAATGAAATAACCTTTCGAACTATCATAATCACCACCGAATATGATCTGTGCTCCATCATTACCCTTCTTTGCATGATCGATATAAGAAGTGATACGTTTAAATGCTTTCGCATCAATAACTGCTGACATAAATATCGATCCATCGCGCACCTATTCAACATGAAGCGTATTATTTCATTCAACTGAATAAAATCTTACAACATCAACACAGAACGATGCAGTTCCCTCTTTTCATAAGTTGTTTTTTTTTTTTCAAGGAGCATCAGTAGCAATCAAATGGTCACTTACATCACCAACTTTAATTTGTTTCTGAATTTCGATGAGTTTATCTTTTAAGGATTCCCATAATGAGTCCGGAATGAAGATACGTGAACATGCACTGCATTTCTGGCCCTGATATTCAAACGCTGAACGAATCGTACCGATCGCTACAGAATCGACATCTGCCGACGGGTGCACAAAATGAAAATTCTTACCACCACATTCTAAACAAAAATTTGCAAATTAAATGCAGCGAAAAGCAATGGCAATGAATAATAATAACTACAATAATAAATACAACAGACCTCCAACCAATTTCGGGAACGTTACATACTTATCCAAATTCTCAGCAACCTTTCGCCATAAATATTTGAATGTTGGTACAGAGCCGGTGAAATTCAGTGCCGAAAAATGCGGACTAGCTGTGACCGTATCGCCGAAGACTGGTCCATCAGATGGTAAGAATGAAATCACACCAGGCGGCATACCTTAATCTTCCTGTTTCTATCAGAGAACATAAACTGTACCACTCATTAAAATCTGTATCATAAACCACCGTTATATCGTGAAAATAACAAGAACTGACCAGCCTCTTCCAATAGTTCATATACCAAATAATTGCTCAATACGGCCGTATCTGATGGCTTCCACAAACTAACATTACCCTGTAATTTAAGTCTTTGAACAACTCTCATCGAAGTTTGCAACCTTATAAAAATTATCAAACGACACCATTGCAGATAGTTCGAATGACCTTTCAATGATTAAGGAATCTAATACCATTAGCGCAGGTGCAGTTGGTAAATTTCCACCAATAGCTGTGAAATTGAACGGCGCAATTGCAGCAACAAAACCTTCGAGTCCTCTATAAAGAAATTTGATGTGATTCGCGAGTTCAAGGCAGAGAGAGTGAAACGCTTACTCACTATGTTCTGATACGATAATAAAGTGAAGCAAGAAGAGCAATACGAACCTCATCAGCATTGTATTGGTAACAGTGTTGGATGAAATGGGCTTGTACCGTTCCAGTTCGAGAGCGAACATCGAATTGAATCGCAAAAAGTCAGCCAGTTCACATGCTGAATCGATCTCGGCTTGAACGATCGATTTACCCTGTCCAAGCATTGTGGCTGCATTCAACAGCATACGATACTTTCCAGATACCAAATCGGCCGCATGCAGTAAAATATCTGCACGATCTCTGAATTCAAATATCGCAATTCGATTCGGTTCAATTTGGAATGTCTTGCTCGTAAACTAACGACATTTTTTGGTGAATGTCTCAAAAAACTTTCTTCAATTTGCTTGATTTTTGATGTTTTATTTAGTTTTGTGCGGCAATCACTCCGAATAATCAGTTTCGATGAAGAGCGGCTGACAATAACAGAATAAATTAATCACGAAACGAATATGGAAATGAAACAAGTGTTTTTTTTGAACGATAACAACGAGAATAATAATGATAAATGAAGAGAATTACAACGCAAATACCGAATGATTTCATGTATTCAGCACTAGAAATACTCAATGAATATACTCAAATACAAGTGATCGAAGCTTCAATCGAGATACGGTAACACAATCGAGATTCAGTCAAATAATAAACATACTTGAGTGATTTCATGCGCCAACTCTCTCTAGCGATAAGTGAGGTTTCGATTGCATGTTGGATTTGCTCTTTGCTTGCATATGTGAACCTAGCAATTGTTGTTTGATGATCACTTGGCTGAAAGAACGAGATTCTTAGAGCACTTCTTGTGAATAAACAACACAACGGTTGATGCGTAAGCACTTAATTACAACAACCAACCATGACTTGTTTCTTTTCGAAATTGTTCGTGATTTTCTCACGTCCAATTCTCAACGGAACATCCGTGATTTTGGTTGATAGCTGCTCAAGTGCTTTGTCTAGTGCCAGTCTTTCGTCACTACCTCTTTTGTAGGTGAGAATAGGCTCGTTCTGGGGTTTCTTCATGAACTGCTCCGAAGTAAGACCAGCGCCACTAAAGGAAACGAATGAAAATGATTCGTAGAATGATGCGATTCACTGCTAGCATGAGCACATTTCAATAATCAATTATGTGAGAAGCAAAGGAAAACAATGAATAAAAGTAAACCAACTTAAAAACTGATGCGTATCTCGCAATAATACCATGACGACACAACTGATAGCCAACTGACAGCTTCTTTGAAGTTAACATGATTGAAAAATTAGGTGAATGATGCTGAGTGAGGGCTGAAGATAATTTTTGTTGAATAAGAAATAAGAATTGATCAATTAACCGAGTTGCTTTCGAGTAAACGATAAATAATGTCATATGTGAATATCAAAAACACATCTGCCATATCGAACGCAAAATCAAAACGAAACACTTTAATCAAACGAAACAACACAGTGAAAGGACAAAGAACAAAAACAACGAATACATCAGATCATGACTGCTCATAACTCAAACTAAACTTGCATTATTCAATCACAATAATTATTTTTACAAATCCGACATGCACATTCAAACAAATAAGAAACTATGAGTCGATTTCAAGTAAGAAAACCGATGAGCAATTTAGCGATCACGAGGAATAATAAAACAAAACAACGATGAGGTAAACAATCAGAGCCATCATGTAAATGAAATGAAAAACCATTCAGATAACTATTCAGAGAATTATTCAGAAGATCGCCACAACGAATGTAGTGAACATTTGAAATAACTTATAGCCCATAACCAATGAGAACGACCGAAAACACAACCCCAGTCATCAATTTAAAAAAACGCTTCTTAAGAATAAATTTAGTTGTGATGAATGAAGGGGTTGCATTCCAAATGAAAAGAACACGAACTCCGGTTTACTAATGGTCGAAGTGACATTAACTAATTGTTGCAATGAGTTTTATCTTAAAAAATGAAACACAAAAATCGAACACCAAAGATCGCCAACTGCATTCAACCCGTTCCGTTTGTTCGCTCAATTAGAATGTCAATAAAATTACATTAACAAACCCATAATAAATTAACACATTCAACGAGCAAAAATCCATTAAAAAACAACTTTTTTATATGAACAGAGAAGATAAAACCAATATAAACCAGAACGATAAAATAGAACAGTAAGTGGAAAATGGAATACCTTAATAACGAACCTACAAACGAGTAGCACTGATGAGAAAATTTTTAACGGAAATACTTCAAGGTAATAAAAACGGTAGTACTTGTGATATGGCCAAGATTTTTTCCAGAAGAGAGACGATGCAAAATGTTTTGGTCCAAAAAAACCACTAAATTTTGAGGCAGATTTTTATACGTAAATTTTCTCTTTCTTCTCCCCTTCCTCCTTCCTTTTTTCCTTTCGTATTCCCAATTCCTTTTCCCTTATCCCCTTTATTCTCTGTTCTGTTTCCGTTTTCTTTAACCCTCCACGAAGGAGTGGGAAGAAGGGGAGGGAGGGGAAGGAGCGAGCGCCCCCCCCCCCCCCCCCACCCCTCTTGGCCACACCACTGAGCATTACCCAGATACGTAACCAATAACCAAGAATCACATTTCCTCTTAGAACCACGGTTTTCAAATTTCGAATGTACCGTTGTTTGTCGTTTTTTCGAACGTACCATAAAAAAGCAACTATACCCCAAAAAAACTCTCTGTTCCAACGTTGTTGTTTCAAAAATACATATACATCTCCTCTCTCTAATGATTATAACAAGATAAATTCTCAATAAGGCGAATTCATGCCGAGTTTCGTATTGAATGATAGTTTGGAGCGTCGTTGAAGACGGCGATGAATCAAAACCATTTTGTGCTTGTGAAATTCATTGAAAAAGAGTATCAATATGAGTGACACAACAATCGACAGTGTAACAGAAGGATGTGCACTTATAACGGCGTAACGTCGCATTGAACTAATTGTTATGAGCATCTGAAGAAGCACATCCACTTGAGGAATAGCATCAAATCAGTGCAATGATAATCTTGCTTAACGGGCAAAATAAAACACATTTCTTCACTTGTTTCTAATTCAGTGAGGTGCGAAAAATCTAAGAAAATGAAAGATTAAACAGTGGCGCGAACAAAGGTATCTACCTGTATTAGGAGTGTCACACAACAGGCGATTACCCAGCATTTATTCTCAAACGGCAGTCTTTCTTTTGCAGTATCGTGTATAAAAACAAAACTTGACGACACGATGCAAATATAAACCGTAAACTAAAACTGGTTTATTCAATACAATTTTTCAGATAGTAATGTTATTTTGAAGCATTGCCAACAAACAACCACACCTCTGATCTGTGAATTTGAATCATTAATCTTTGAATCTTTAAATTTTGAATCTGAATTTTTCAAATCTTTGAAGAATCTCAAACTTAAAACGCTTTCATGCATAAGGGATAAACTGAAAGTACTATGGAATTTCTACAGAAACTTGTATTGTTGAGAGTAAACCATACCAAGAACCTCGTAAAAACAGCAGCATCATTAATGTCTTCACCACTCAGTGGATCATCGCGATCACTTGGACTTATAATATAATTCGAAACTACCTGAGACCATGATCAAAAGTGAATGCTCATCACATAGAAATTAATCAAATCAGCTGATCTATTATTGCGATCCAATACCATCCTGATCGCCAAAAGCAAACGATACACAACAAAATTTATTGATGTGAAGAAATAATTCTATTAGTTTGTAATGAGTATGCAAGTGAACTTTTTATAAACATAAACCTACAGTAGCAGCATACGTAAAAACAGTCGACAGAACGCTTGGTAGGAATCGACTTGACAGATAACCGAGCATACGCTGTAGTCCGTGAAAATTTGTGAACTTAGCATTTTTTGGCGAAATTTGTGAATAGCAGTCGTCAAAATACTTTGAAGAGGTCGTTAAAGAAAGGGCAATGATTGGAATGTATACGAAAGTGAACAGAAACATCTGCAAATTGCTTAATGATCGGATAAGCATTCAACGAGATACAATCAGACAGAATACTAATCATTTCGAAATAACAATCGAGTGCTTTTTTTTGTTGTTATTGACCCGATCGAATAAAAGAACAGTTTTAAAAAATGAAAGGTGAACAGAAGAAGTGGGCAGATCAAATGAACAAAACGAAGAGCAACAAATCGTTCATGATAACCTGGAAGGCACTGAACAGCGGAGGCATGAAGATGAGTAACGAGAATAACTGTGTAATCGCAACTGCAATCGATGAATGCAGGAAAAATAAAATCGCAGAACGGGTCAAACGAACTCGTCTCCTCGATTCGGTAATCATTGACAGCATATCAACTTTCTATAAAACACATGACATTAAGAACACAAATAGAGTCAAATTATCAAAATTTGAACGAATTGTTAGTTGTATACTTTTCAGATCAAACTGAATGGCTGTATCCGTTAAGCGTAGAAAGGCAACAGACATACGACCTGATTAGCTACGAATAGAATATTGGTGGCAATATGCATCAGTGTTGATGCATTTGTCGCAGTTTCGCTGACGAGTTCAGATGGTGCACTCGGTTTATCGCAGCAAACAGATGGGTACTGCGGTTCAATACAAATCGAGCAATCAGCCTTAAATATCGACTCACTGATAGACTCTCGATGAATCTCTTACCATGCTATTACATGCGTATCGTTTACCTGATTGAATGTATTCGTGTTGTCAGCGTTCAAAGCTGATCCCACAACCAAAACGGTTTCACCGTATTCCTAAAATAAATACTGAACGACAAGGAGCCAATTCTTTATAAATTAGTAAATGTTTGACATTCTTTTCAAAACGACTGAATCGCAGCAATTTTAAAATGACTTTTCTTGCGTAGAATACGAAAGAAGAATGATTGCGGTGCAAAGCGAACACTGCGAAGTGTCGAAAAAGTTTAATTTATAGTCACCTTCATAACTTTAATCATTTCCGCATCAGTTTTATAGTCACAATCCGTGAAAAGATTCACCAGTAATGGAACATTGTCAACAGTTTTCAAATGTGATCTAATGTTTTCGATGCCTAAAATATTCAATATTTGACTCAATGAACGAGAATGCCTGATTTATCAGATTTCAAACGTGAAACCAGCAATAATCTACACTCGTCAAATCAATGATCGAAGTTGGAATTTCATAAAGACAGATGATTCGCAGCGCTATTATTGTTAGTTGCACAGAAAGAAGGAAGGAAGAATGTGATAACAGAGAAGCAAAAACTCGTAATGAGTAGTAATTGTAATTGCTGATTAAATAAACAACTAGAAAGGAGTTAATGAGTCATTTCTCGAGATTCATCTCGCATCAAAACACACTTAAACACATTCCATAAAGATGCCACGATGTTGAAACACTAGAACAGAAACTGAATAAATGAATGAATTGATTAATCAACGGAAACACTGAACATTAAGCAATCACAATACCAGATGGAAGCCCAGCAACATTGGGCAATAATGGCGGTAATTGTGGTGATAAATTGTTCGATGAAGAGCTTAGGGACACTTCTTCTTTAAGGGAAGAAATAATGGATTTATTGATGATATCTTCCTAAAGCAATCGAAACGTTAATGAGCATCAGAATACGACCACCACAAAAACAGACAACCAAAAGTATCAGTGAAAGCTTGACACTTACACCAACGTTCGATTGATGCGCCGCATCATGAACAATTGCCTTACTGAAACACTAATTTTGCACAAACCATCAATCATTTAAACAATAAACATATCTGAATATAGTGCAAAATAATTCAGCAACTATTGCGCACCTTAAATAAAAATTATTGATAAACTGATCAGTGAACAAAGCCTTTAACAAAGCTACAATGTTCTCTTGAGGGGCTCAAAAAAGATATTCAACTGACTTCGTAGAGCTACGCCGATTTGATACTGGACTGGTTGACAGCTCGATTAACGACTGACTTCGAGAAATTAGGTTTGATGTTCCAGTGAAATAGGAATAATGGTTTGAAAGGCGTTTATTAAGTGCCAAATCCAAATCTGTAAACAAAACAAACAAAACATGAACACTTTGCGAAAGATTGATCTTGTTATGTATAAGATGGAATTGCACTATGTAATCGAACTTACACGAGAGTTTATCATGACCGGTACAACGTTTGAACTGTTGTTGTATTTGCCATTGATCACTTCCTAAAAGCGGTACTGATGACAGACATATTGCACGATTCGAAATGCAAATACCTTCACAAGCAAGAGAGACATGACAGTTCCATCCGGCCTCTAATCCAAGTTGAACTGCGAACATACGAGTGCGTAGCTCGTTTTCCGTCGAAAAGAACGTAAAGCGAACGTAAGCGTTATCCAGTTGTTCAATCAACTGCACTGCATCTTTACGAGCCTTTAATATAGATTATTCATATTGATAATGTTCATGCAGTTAGGGCAAGAGAATCATCTGTTGCGTTTAATGGTAATTGTTCTGAGAGTGATACGATGTGTCTGATCAGCGAACAGAAAATTAAACTGATGCCTGATTTCGCATAGCAATGATAGCACAGAATATTTGCCCTTTCAGTAAACTATCAATGCAATGTCTTGCGGTGTTCAGTTGCACGTTTTCATCACAGAGATTCATGACACTCAATGCCTGTGGTAAGTGAGTGTTGACATGATCGTGTGAAACTGCATCCCTTGGATGGAATGGCGATAAATCGATGTAACGATATGACATTCGCTCACTCAACGTTGATCCGTTTGCTCCAGTTGCTATTACCGTACAGTACCTGCAAACAGAGCACTGTTGTAGAACAGCATGCGTTAAATCGGAAAATGGTATCGAAAGTAAGGGTAATGTCGCAACCAACCCAGTCACGCAGGATCGTTCGTAAAAATCCAACAGTTTAGCATAATCGCTAGATTCGAGAGGTGCAGCATCCATACCATTCCACGCATACGCGCATCCATCAAGCACAATTTGACTGCCTTGACTCATTATCTGATAATGACCGAATGCGGACTGTTCACGTACAACTGTTATGAATCCATTTTCGATTGCAATTCCATGTTTGAATGTTCTTAATCAAACATTTTAGTATAGTCACATTTTTAATGCATAAAAAAATTAGAGAAGAGTATAATGAAAATTCTCGAAAGCATATTGAGTGGTAACAATGAAGATTTAATATGAGACTAATCACCCGAATGATGTAGCAGTACTATTTAAAGGTACTCGCTGATAGACACCAATTGTTTTAATTGTTGACAGGTCCAGTTTACGCTGTATTCTGTGTGCAGAGCTGAACAATTTCAAGAAATAAACGAACTGAGTGATCATAAAATTACATGCACGAAGTAAATGACCGTGGAAGAAGTGCACTTAAAGAGATGAATTGTTTTTGCATTTAGGAAAACGAAAGATTGAGAAATGAAAGCGATCAACCTTATGATATGAGCCAACTTGCAAATGCAATGATGACGGGGAACGTCGGCGCATCGACATAACCGCACTTGATTTTGAACAGCCATTAGATGATCGTGAAAGCGTCGATGCATCGTTGCTAGATGAGCACACGGATTCTGAACAGCAGCTGCAACGACTGGTAATAACGAACGTCGGAAGTGACTCCTGAAAGTAGATTCATTCAATGAAGATCTATTGTTGATTTTTGCAAAATAAAACCATAAGACAAGAAGATGAAACGGAAATTAAATGAATAAAGTGGATAAAAATATGGCCAACTTATGATTTGCCAAGCATCTTTGTTAATGGAACCATTAAAAAATGAACTCAAAAGCAAGATAAACAATGAGATGACAACTGCAACGTTCACAATGCTTACTTCAAGAAAGACAGTGCACTGTTGGAGGGAAACAAATGAATATAATAGAAAAGCAAGTAACCAGTTTGGACTGTCAAACTGCAAATTGATTTGTTGAGCCAACGAGATATTTAAAATCCTTATTGCCACCTTCTTATGATCTCCTTGAAAAGTTGATTTATCGTCAAAATGAACTGTTACTTACACAAAGATTTTATTCATTGAATAATGAATATTGACCAATGCGATAGATCTTTAAAATTGTATCTTTCGACCATGAGAAAAAAAGGATTGTTTTCATACGAAGAAATATGCGCAATCAATTTTTTTAAAAATCAAAGCGTTTGGAGATCAACTGGCTGAACTGCATTTGTGGAAGAATGCAATTTTCTCCGCGGTAGCATTTGGCCACGATAAAATTCCATTTTTGTCTATGAATGCGACTGTCGTTACTGAACCCATATTGAAAACTAGATCTGATGCAAGGCTCATGTAATTCGACTTCATTCTTCCTAAAATTCAACTGAATAATATTTTTGTTCTCCTCGAGCGAGACAGTTCCGAAAATAATTGCAAAATGAACTATTTGTTAATTCTCTTCTTTACTCACCATCAGTTATATTTTCAATTAGAACTTCACATCATCACAACAATTCTCCTTAACAAAACTTTCAGATGCTCACGCTCTTAATCATAATAAAGAAGCGAAGATACCTTCAACAATCTCAAAAAATTTCTGATAGTATTCCTTGGGTGTCACTTTACGATGCTGAGAGATTAGATGAAATATAGGAGACGGGATAAGAGTGTCTGGAACATGCTGAGCAGGAGCAGCTTTACAAATGACATATGCCAGATTCCTTGAATGATAAATGCACTGATCACAGGGACACTCTTTTTAGCTGTACTTAAACTGAGCAACATTTATTTTGGGAATGGCTTTAAACTCTCTTCATTCAAAGCACGTATGATGATCGAAAAAACATCATCATTCAGCTAACATTAAACAAAAAGAAAAAATAAATAAAGACATACCATACACTAACCAAAATTTAATAAGCATATAGAATGATGGGAAAGCGGGTAATAATAATGGTAGGATGGTGACTGCTAAGATACTCACGTCATATGATAAGGATTCCGAATAAGGAAAGCTCGATGTATATCTGAAGTATATTCAAATATAACAGATTATTTTTGAATGGCAACGCAAATTGTAGAATTAAAAACGAAAACAGAAAAGAACCTGATAATGAGAACAGCAGTGACTAGAAATAAGAATACTGGCAGCAGAAAGCACTCGATCATTAGATGCACGCTCTTAAAAACTTTCGAATCTAACGATGCCTGACTTCTCATAGCATGACTCTTGAAGGCGTCGTTCATATGACTTGTTAACGGTGTCTCTAATACGGCAAACCTTTTTGCTACCATTGGAATCACCTTTAAAAACAACTTCGATGAAGAAAGAATTCATCTGACCAATAATTATTCAACGCTTTGAGCACTCAAAATGAGATGTAAAGATGATTCCATTAGAATATAAGCATATGATAAGCGAACAAATCTAACAGCATCCGTATCGGTGCAGGTAATCGCTTCGAACGGAATCATCTGACCACGTTTGAAAACTTTGCCATCATACGAAATACAAAGACAAGGTGCAAGATGACCGGCTCGAATCAGGATCACATCTCCTCTGGCCAATAGCAAACGTGGTACGTTGCATACCTTAACTCCTCGAATAAACAATGACCTGACCAACTTCAATAACGCAACTAACCTGATTGTCTCTAATTGTCAACTGCAAACTGATTGTTTCACAGTCGGGTTGTTCACTTGAAAAATATTCGAAATGTTCTCTCTTTGCCATTTTTTCAATTGAACGAACTATTTCTTCAGCTTTGTGAAACATCTCGAAGTTACGTCTGTAGATATCAAAACTAGACAAGCAAACATTCAACACAACATAAATCAAAATTGCTGTTGCCGCTACCAGGTCACCAGCCTCTGGTCCTCTGCAAAACTTATCCACGGCTAAATTATATCATAATAATGAATATACTAAAACCATCACTAATAATAAGAATTATACAATAATAATGATAGTTTTAAAAAATAATAATGGTTGACAATAGCAAACAAAAATAATCACTATATTAAAAATAATGATCATGATGACTGTAACAAATTTTCAGAGTTACTATTATTTCATCGAGTCTATTTGAGAAAGTGCTGGCGATTAGCATAATATAGTCAAATTGATAAGCGAATGATAAAATGAAATAAAAATAATCACTTGTTAGCATCTGAAATCACCAACAAAACCGTACACAACAACAGGAGGAATGAGTAAGACGAGCAATAATTTCCGTTATTCGCAAGTGAATGCCGGAGTTTGACTATCCTGTAAGTGAAAGCATTTAGAAATGGTTTTGACGCACCCTTCGAATTTATTCACGCTCCAACACAATTACTCGATCCCGCAATTAGATCAATTGCTAAAAGATATCCTCTTATATGCGCATAGAAATAATAGTAAATTTAATATTATCACCATCAATCTGATACTAAGTGTCGTTCAACAACAAGATGCCTACAAAGACTTGAATTTAGACTTTTGCGGGAATTTAACTGAACTTATACTTTAGGCCTCTGAGCAAGTATCAACAACCCTTCAAAAGGTCGTCTTAAACCACATTAGTACCCAATCATTTTGTGTGAAATCCGTCCATATAACTACTCAATGCATGATCAGATGACAGTTAGCGTTATTGGTTTAGAATCGACTAATAAGCGTTTCATTATGATCAATCACAGATTCGAATAGGGACAGATTGTGAAGTCAAAAAAGAATTGATTCATTTTAGATGATGAGAATGAGCATTAGATGTTATTAGAAATAGGAACGATGAGAATGAACATGCTAGCTATTAGAAATAAAAAAGTCACTTTCAAAAAATTTAACAGAAACTTATGCCTGCTTAAAAAAAAACAATTACCATGAGAGAGAAAACGAAAAAGCGAACGTTCCATACAAATCCATCAGACGTTGCTCTTCCACATTCAGAACTCTCTTTGCATCTAAATGCAATTGATGATATGCTTGACGTGATGTCAAGCTCTTCCACGACATGATCTGAAAATCGCAACAAGATTCAGTTATCAATGATACAATACATCAAATCGTTATTTGACAGGTAAATATAAACAAATACACATCACCATTTCAACATCGAAAGGTTTCTTTGGAATAATAATCTTAATTCGGAATCGAATTCACTAGCGCCTCATCTTTCATACAGCACTTATATCGGATATCGTCACTTGAATTTTCGAAAAGCCCTTCCCCTCAGACATCAGTGGGCAGAAAGGGAGAATAGTCTATATACCCCTGCAATCGCTTGATCATAACTTTGATTAAGATGGATGATTTCATGCACTCATTATATTAACTCTGTGGAAAGAATGATGCCGAACATTGTGATATTATCGCTAGACGCAAATAATCTCTTAATGAGTAGTAAATGCTGGTTACATGACAAATTAATACTATGCATTATTTCTCTCATTCAATGTACATTTATTTTCTCCGAAATGTTCACTAGCAAAATACTGGATGGTGTCGAACATTTATTCAATGAAGTGCACTAACGTTCACAATTCACATCGAGTCACTTCGTCCTGTAAATCAAATGCATTTCAAATCGAATACTATCACTTGACCATTGCCAAATAAGATTACATAAACATACCTAAAAACAAACCAATTAAAGCAACCGACTCACTCCGTCGAAAAACGAATCACCTAATGAACAAACACATCTCATGCATCGAATGCAAAACTATGCAAATTTTCGACTGCATTTGATGATGCAATAACCTTTTGCAACATTTTGCAAGCTAATTTTCGATAGGATTCATAATCGGACTCTACCAATTGATAAGTTAATAATCCAATAAATAAATCAAAATTTTAATGAGCATATAAAAAATCATCAGTATAACGCATTTTCGAACTAAACGACCAACGAAAATTCCTATTCAACCACAGGAGTATTCATTATTTTATTAGCATTTGCAACTTCGAAAAGGTGCTTGTCAGTGATGACAGTATTAGTGGTAACAATGGTAATAATAACAACAGTAATGACAACAATAATAGTAACAATAAATAAACAATAATACCCCAGTGTTATTATCACCCATAAAAACACACTAATAACAGCTATAAAAGTGACATTGTTTCCCCTCAATTAATATAATAAGCAGTAAGAAAAAGAGTAATATTAATAAATTAAGTGTTGAAATGAGTATTCAATAAAAAGTGGATTATGCAAAGATTAAAATTTGAGAAAGCATAAAATCTCATTTGGCACATTATGCTGATGTTTTCATTGACTGAAAGAAGTCAGCTGAGAGGATAACTGAATAATTATGCGACTAAAATAAGTGACGGATGAAAACAATAACAACACTAGTATAAGTGATCACAATTGTTGCATAGCATGTTCAATGTGAAAATGTATGTAACAAAAAACGATATGTAGTGAACAATTATGAGGTACGAATTAAAGTACTGCACAACTGACAAAACAAATTCGATATCACAATCGATCACATCAGCAGATTGCACTTAAAAATCAAGAATGAAACGACAAGCGAATTGTTCACATTAACTGCTGATAACGAATCGCTTTAAAGCTCAGTTTTGATGTTGTTCTGCTTAATTGATTGAAGAATTCGATCAACAGAACGCACAATACCATCAGCATTATGCACATTGATAGCAATACCCATAACACTCTGTTCATTCCCACTGACTGAACCCACGTAAAGACGTATCGTTGGATACGCATTAATATTCGCTTCTTCACACACACCAGCCCATTGATCACAGTCGATTTTTGCCAATTTCACACGACCATCAAACATCTGTGAACAATAATAGTAACATTACTATTTGAATTAAGAAATAATAACGAACATCACTCACATTGGCTACTTCTTCAAAAATCGGCGCGAACTGAATGCAAGGACCACACCACGGGGCAAAGAAATCGATTAACCACGGTTGAGTGTCTTTCAGAACGCTTGAAAAGAACTCTCGACCCATCTTGGTCACCTTTGATGGAATATATTCATAGAGCCATCGTCGCATAGAGCCATGATCACGCCACCAATTAGTAGGATAATCACTAAGAAGAATAATCACTTTGCAATTTGTACCATTCAATATGAATTCGTAAACAGATCTAATTAATAATACTTCACAACAATACGAGTGACAATATCTATGAATTTATTTAAAATTTCGATGAAATGACATGAATGATGTGCAAAAAGAGTGAATGGAATAAATAACTGAATAATCAATTTTAATGAATAAGAAAGGAACATGGGTAACTGAGAGGCGTCAGACTGATACAAGCGTATTGTTGGATAAGCTCTGATTGCATTGCTGGTACACAACGAACGATGTGCCTCGCAATCAACCGAACCGAATTTTATCAACTGTGTTCGTTGACGTACACTGCGGGCTAATTTTCTGAACTCGGGTGCCAACTAAAATTGTTTTTATAAGCACCTAATTTCATTAATGAAAAAATTGATTCTTAAAGTAAATATGAAGAAACGCACTTGCTGACATGGACCACACCAAGGTGCAAAGAAATCCACTAGCCACATTGTACCTTCCGACTGTTGCTTTACAACGTTATCGAAATCGTCCTCTGTTAGCTGTTCAACCGAAGGATGCAACACGTCCTGCAATTGAGATTACTGCAAACATCAATCAGTAGTGCATTATCTATCGTATTTCTACAATCATCACCTCAATGAATTCTGCAATCTCGTCCGCATTGTGAAATCCAACGTTTTTATGTGACTTTCCGTTCGAATAGAGCATTGTCGTTGGATAACTGAAGAAAAGTCATTTGAAAAAAGATCCGTAGCTTTTGATGAACAGCAATTAATTAACACTTATGTGTTAGCAAACTATCAATGTACCTAACAAACGTCAGCAACTCAATATGCAAGAATTTGTATTCAAATGTCGTACCTTTTCACATCAACTTGATCACAAATATCACTATATTGCACGCAGTCAATCGTACCAATATGAATATTCTCAACAAAATTGTGAAGTTTGTGTAATTCATTCAGTAATCGTATACAAGGAGGGCACCACTGAAACCATTAAATTTTAATCAAATAACAAAAAGAATCGATAGAATTGCTGGAATATTATTAACAACGAGCAATCTCATTTTGCAATTTTGACTGCCGTTCATACATCACAAGTGTTGTTGGAAGAATGCGATAGATTTTCGAAATCGATGACGCTTTTGGTTGAGAAAAGATTTAAAAACCCTCTATTCAAAGTAGTAACAAAACAACAAGTAATCCAACTTACAGGTGCAAAGAAATCAATAAGCCAAAGCTGATCACTTGAAACAGCCTCCTGATAACCATTCGCTGATAGTGTTATCATTGTTGACTGAGCACTTTCACGCGCAAATCCAACTATGCTCAGCAACGATTTTGTTTTGCCTCAAAAATGTTATTTTCAACCCTTTTGATGAAGAAATGAAAATTATTTGAACCTTCTCTTGCATCACAATCATGATATGTTGTTTGAATACACCATAAAAAATATCTAGGTAATAAAGCAACACGAACAAACTTCATCGCGAAATATGACGATAATCAATTAATTTATAGCAGTGTGAATGGTAACATTCACACTGCTATAAGTTAATAATTTTCTTAAAATTATTATTCGAAATAGCTTGCCACCTGTATACACACACAAACTACCGAAAAATACCAAATATCATTAGTTGAGATCACTGAGCCACACAGAATAAGAATTATCATAATAAAAACGAACCATAATAAACTTCATAACCACCCATTTTCTTGAACAAAATCCACTTCGGTATTTGACCGATATTCAAACTCTGGCATATACTATACGACTTGGAACAATCAGCAACAAATACCTTCAAAATATATTCCAGGAACAATGAGAGATTTACCTTCAGTATTTAAGAACTACTTATAAAATATCAAGGAAGCATTTAAGAATTGAGATGTAAAAAACGATCACTGAATTATGGTGTAAAATATGAACCTTGGCAATACCGGATAATTTTGCAGGTAATTTTTTAAAGTCTGGATTATTTGCATCATTGGTGACATTAGAGTCCGGAAGAAGATAAAGAAGAGTCGATTCGGAACGAAGTTTGGCTGCAGGAATAAAATTGATTGATAAAAAATAAATGCGCGAAAGATATCAGAAGTGACCAAGGATGAATTAGAAGTGAAATGTTGAAGGTATCTTTTATATCGCTCGAATGAATGAACGGATGAATAATTTCATAAATCATTACCATTATAGATTTCATCCAACTGCCCGGGAAGGAGACTTTCCAAACCGGGAAGAAATTGCAAAACGAGTGAAGCGATTTCTTTTGGATCTAAACTTTTTATCTCCTGGAAACGAATTTCATCAAACCTCATCTCATGAATTTTCTAAAACAAAACTTCAGAACTCAACTATGAAATTCGCAAAACTAGCACGGATTAAACTGTATAATGAAAGAATCAGTGACTACTAACTTGAGCATGACTCTGATCAATCTTAGCAGGCGGATAATAAGCAACACCTTGGGTTCGTTTCAGATCAGTGCACAGTTGATCTTTCATAGCACCTTCGTAGCAATTCACAGTTGCAACATTCGTTGAATCTTTCAATATTGCAGCCAATTTCTTTCTTAAATAATTGTTATTGATTGCATTCGATAATGAGCAAGAGAAATCTACCTGTTCGTATCTGATAAACAATTATCATGATCGTCACAAAAGTCGATCACCCATCCATTCGAGGAATATTCATCTGATTCAACGCTCAAATAATTCACATTTGATTTGCTCATCTCATGAACTTCGATCACAATGTGACTCATAACGAAATCAATCAACTCGTTCAATTCACGCTCACCATTGTAGAGTGTTTTCTGGAAATAGTTGCGTCAACAAGCAAACTTTCAACGATGAATGTGAATTAACAAATCGATTACCTGAGGATAAAGTACCAACGATGGATATCCCATGACATCTTGCGATGCACACAGCATTGGATCTTCTGCACAGTTAACTGCTCCGATCCGAAGCACACCCTCAATTTCTCGTGCGAACTTTCGCCACTCAAATACAACCCGTTCATTTAAAGCGAATAAAATCATATTTCTATACGTTAACTGATGCATATATGATCAAAATATCAACATTTTTCTCGCAATATTATAAATCAAATTAATCTGTTCTTTCAAAAAAAAGGTCTTCATGTCGATCATCGAAAACGTTCAATTACAAATCCTCGTCAACACTTTCTGAGAAATCTCTATCATGCAGCACTACTACCATTACCAACAAACAATGCCGCAAGCAAAAACCGAAAGCAAGTCTAACCGTTGGTGCAAGTTGATGACAATGCGAACAGAACGTTGAATAAAAGTTCACAAACCAAATCTCGCCAGACTCAACGACTTCCTGTTGGAAGTCGGCCCGTGACAACGTCACAATTTCAGCATCTTCATCATATATTCCTTCAAGCAAATAACTTGTAATCACTTCATTTCATTCCCATCACAAAACGACAATTACCTGCATTGGCTAGGCTATCAAATGTTTGTAACGTTGCTGGCCACAACGCTCACAATGTTTCCGTTCACACTGTTTTAGACTTGATTTACACCACCCCGCTGGCTAGGCGAGCAGGCCAACCGAACAACCGTTAGTTGTCGTGAATGTGTAGCATAATTAAGCTTAGCCAAATACCAATTCAATAAATAATCATGACTCTAAGAAATTAAATATTCCGCCGATCCCTCACAGCGACTGACAAAACAACCACCCGATGTCCAAGTAACAAAACGACAATCCATACCGAAATTGTCACGATAGAACTGCCACGACTGATAGTGATATTCGCGTTTCGAATCATCCTTCAGCCCCTCTTCACCGTACTCATCGTACTTCTTACGTAGATCCTCATCCATCAACACCTCGTACGCACGAGTCAAACGTACGAATTCTGCGTGAGCATTCGGGTCCTCAATTTTATACATTTATCGATACGTTCCTCTTTCATTTAAACTCCTAATCAAAATATTACACAATCGTTCATTATATATTAACAGTTATAATAACAACAACAGTTGTTTTAAAAATGATAGTAATGTGCTGATATTAATAATGATGATGATATAATAACAATAATAATAATAATAATAATAGTAATAATAATTTTAAAAAACATAACGAACCGGATTTTTGTCAGGATGTTTTTGGAGAGCAATTTTCTTGAATGCTTTCCTAATGTCACGATTGTCAGCATCCTTACTAACGCCAAGCATTTCATAGAAATCGTCATTGGCATCGCTCGCAGAACACAATAAACACAATAATGCTAGTGAAATAACGACCCTCATTACACCTCGTCTCCAGTACGGAGAAGACCTGAGCTTTGGCTTACTTAAGCTCACTCTTATGTCAACCTTCAAATTCGTATAATTTTGTCAAATGTGTGTATGTACATAGTGCTGGCTGATGTGAACAAGATTAACGTTAAATGACGTGTCATTTGATAGCGACCATTGTTTAATAACATGATTGATATTATACTAGTCAACTATTCAGTAGCACCCACTGCATTTCACTTTCTACCAGCAATAATCTCTATGCAATACAGGAACTCGATCATTATTTTCATAATACCTCTCCTCTTATTAACGCACATTCTCATATATTTCTGATGTCGTCATTATTTTTATGTTAAAGATTTAGGTTAGCACGGCATTTCGCACCTGCAGTTTAGTAATTCTTAGTGGGTTACGACGATAGTTGAACGGTCTTAAACAGCGTGGCAGTTGATGGTAGTATTGCACGAATGAAGTTATGCTATGGATTGGGGATTCATATAAAAGTCTTCTCATGAATCATGAACGAAATGTTGTTTTGATTGAATACCTCAAAGTGATAGTATGATTATTGTTGTTCTTGTCGACTATATCATTTGTAACTATATAAGTATTCGAAGAGACTCTGCTTTAATTCTGTCTATTTGTTTACAAAAACGGTGCAAAAGAATCGTGAATATAATAAATATGCAACAACGAACATAGATATGCACAAAACTGATAACCAATGCTGAAGTTTTCATTTGCAATTATTTATTTTGTGGCAATGAATTAATGTGTATAGTTATTCACCTATCACATCAGATTTAACTCGTCTCAGTTCAAAAGATAACAACTGAAATGAGCATGTTTTTCTAAAAAGTAATTAAAATGAATACCACAGATTGTGTTTTGAATCGAATTTATCGATTCGACGAGAAATAACTAAATGAGATGAAATCCTCAGAAATTTGTCGTAACGTCTCGGTATTCAAGACGAGGTTGGTCGTCTCTTTACGTTCACGAAGTACATCCGCAGATTGCACAGCACAATAATGCATCATTGATTCTGTTCGGGTCGTGAACACAACCTTAATAAACGCAATATATACTGCATTCTCATATCCTTCCAAATGTTTGTGCTGTAATAGAATGGTAAATAGAGCAATGCAATTTGCTTTACTTCTTCTTAAAGCATCAAATCAATATTACTTCAATTCTACTTACTCATCTATATAACTCACTAACTATCATCGTCTGACTAACCTCATAACTAACTGTATGTTATAACTTCACTCTCACCTCATTTAAATCTATTCGATGAGGAGATGACCCCGAAAATCTTTATTCATCTATGTACACACCAAGAACAGTGGCAACAATAAGTCCATGTAAATTTTCAGCCGAAAATATTGCACGTCGAGTTCGCTCGAGCTATAAAAGCCCTGTATGAACAGTCCTAAATCATAAACCAGTATTTATGCGCAAATAATTTGCATAGCACCTTGAAAGTACAACTGGTGGCACGTTACCTTTTTTTTTTGAATTCTCAGTTTCTCAGGAGGTCAGTCACAACGCTAACAATTTAAATGGCTATCCACCGATCACCCGCTTTCGGTTTCAGTCGATGGTCTTCAGCCGATAACTTTTTATTATTAACTTCTCATCGCTGAAATTTGATCGCAATCGGTTGCAGCATTCAGTTGAAGTATCGAAGTGAAGTGACGTTTTAAAAATAACAAAGCTGAAATATTATTTATACTCACAATCAGCAGTGACATTTTTACAAACAGTGATCGTAAACTTCACATGTGTAATGTGCTTGTTGAATTAATTTGCAACAGTCTTATTGAACTAACTNAGTTAGTTCAATAAGACTGTTGCAAATTAATTCAACAAGCACATTACACATGTGAAGTTTACGATCACTGTTTGTAAATTAATTTTACAATCAATTTATTCGATTCACATTGTGAAATTATGAGTTTGTGCATCTGTACTGATAATTAACAGTTAATAATACAAATCAACGATGCTCTACAACGAACTGTTAGGTGTTGTGTTTGTTTCTGGACTGTGGGGTTTGACAAATCCACTCATGCGATATGGTTTAAAAACCGTTCAGTATCGCTCAAATACTGGTTAGCAATTAACTGATTCTTCATATCTCCAAAATTAAAAGATCACAACATGAACACTAATCCAGAGTGTTTCTTCACCAGTAATCAAATACGCTCACCAAAAATTATTATAGCCCATCATACATGAACATTTCCGTATTGCATAAAATTTTCACTCACTATCGGCCGAGCATATGAATAATCTTGATTAGTTTATGAAAAGTTGTTCCATCAATTAAATGTTTATTGAGAGAGGATTTCCTAGAAAAGGACATTTATCTATATTATTAAGCGTATTTTGAGCCTGAGAAATGACTAATAGTAAAGTTATTTATTTCGTTGCTCCTTTTAAGCCATATTTTGCAGAGGCGAATAGCTACATCAATCGTTTCACAATGAAACTCTTGGAAACGGCGTTACATTGGAGATTTTCGTTACCATTTTCACTAAATTTATGTGCATCGGTGAGTGTTAATAATATTTGCAATTAATACCACTGACTGGCAGTAATGCGCTACTCGTTATTCCGCTAGCAATGCAGGCACTTTTCTCGGTAGCGCTTAGGCTTGCTTTTTTTATATGACGAAAGCGATAACTTCCGTTGCAGTCATTTTTTGCGTCGTTAAGTAGCGGTAACTTGTGTCATTTCCTTTCGCTAGCGTTGTAGCGAGCTACTTTTTTCAGTCTTCCGACAACTCGCTACTTTTCATCTATTTTTCCCAACATTAGGATTTTCAACCCTTGTGCGGTGTCAGTATTTTTGTGAATCAGTTGGTGCTCGTGGATCGGATTGAGCAATACCTCAACAAACGTTTTAATTTACATTTGTTTGCCAAATCCCAACTCTGCAAGCCACAGAGAAGTAGTTTCAACTTACTGAACCGAGAGGCCGATTCGATTTCCCAAAGTATCGTTCAAGCATTTGCCAATGTTTCGAGATAGTTTATGTTTATATCACCTTGTGCAACACGACCAATTGATCTCGAATCTGTTCTCTGATTTTGCAAAACCACTTTTGATCCTGAGTTCTGGTGGGAGAAGAAGATCAAACAATGAGTGACAATACCCCCACAAATACCTCTCCCCCTTATAATTTTGGCATTTATCTAGGTTTGGGATAAGATCTGTCTCGATATAAATAAGATAACTTTAGAACTTGATCAGAAGTGTGTAATCCGTTCATAATTTCAGTTTCACAAAGCTTCAATAATGAACATATTGTTTTGTATAGCTATTACCTACGTGACTTCGAGATCCGTTCAGCACCACAGAATCACTCAGAAGTATGCAGACATACCAATATAGATGTATCAGTTCAGAACATAGCTTCCTGCCTTCATTAGTCATATCAGAGCTCTAAAAATTCGGAAACAGATTCGGAATCAACTACAATACAATAGGAATATTAAAAGTTCCATATTCAAGCTACAATGACCCCCATTTTTGGCAGCAAAATAATATTAAGCACTATCTTATTCCATTATCGTTCGTATCGCTAAAGTAAAACTACCTCAGTGCGTTTGCTTCGCTACACTTATAGTGCTAATCTCATCGAGACCGGTTTCATCTTTATCATATCGGGGGTCAACGAGGTGACTCTTCACTTGGACATCATTTGGTTATTATTATTATTGTAAATCTTTGGTAAATAGAATTTGACATTTCTAATGAACTTTGAAAAGATTCTGCCAAATTTTTGACGGTTTTTTTTTTCAAGATAAATCTTTATCGCGATTGCAAATTTTGAAGGAGGATTTGAAAGTAGCGATTAGTGAACTAATTTTGCTACGTATAAGCAAAAACTGCCACTATTCTTTTTTTTTCAAGTAGCGGCACTTTTAGCGAAATGTTTTCGCTACTTTTTTGTCAGCTGTGCTACTAGTGGATCATTTTTAACGGTACAAAAATACTTTTTTTGCGAAACAGCGATTAGCGGAGCTAATTTTTTTCAGTAGCGTGCCCATCACTGACTAATGTAATTATTGACAATAATGCATTAATAGTGTTTTTTTTACTCTTGGCGCCGATATCATTATAGGTTTATTCTGATATTCTAATATTATTTTCATTAAAGATTAATTGATTTCACTGATTTTTGTTAGGAACTGACTATGGTGCATATTGATTTGAGAGTTTCACTTGCCTGGAATATGAGATGTATCATTTATAGGCAATATGGCCAGCTGCTAGTATCGGGCCATAGCACAACCTCATCGAATCATTGTATTCATATCCACGAAAACATTTCCTTATTCATTTTCATTCTTGTGAATGAACACACCCTTTTCATTTTAATGTTAGCAAACATCTCATACGTTTATTATTTAAGGTAACTGATTCACTTTGATTATTCTGCATCATATATGAATAAAAAATATTCAGGTATTATTCGTGGCTCTATTAGCCAGTCAACCGATAACGTTCGTTGTTCCAACAGTGAACGCACTCACATTCCTCTTCACCACCGTTTTTGGCTCTATGATCGGCGAAAAGGTTATTTCGGAACGACTTTTATTCGGTTCATCCTTAATCATTATTGGTATCCTCATCTCGAGCACATCACCATAACCACCACAGCCATCAATGTTCAGCATAAGCTATAAAGCTTCACGCTTCCCTTCTCATCGTAAATTTGCAATGTCTCTCAAGGAGTTTTCATTAGTCACAACTTTGTGGACCTCTCTTGAAAGCGGAGTTTTGTTGTGTCCATGTATGAAACGACTGACTGTGATTTTAATCAGTATTAAAACTGTATTCAACACTAGTAATTACATTCCAATGAATATTCGCATTTCAAATCGAATTGTGCATGATAATTGCTTGTTTTTACAATGCAATAAACATTTCAGGATCAATCATTTTCAATCATAAATAGACTTATGTATGTTTTTGACAGCTTCTAAAAATCAATTTCACAACGATCAAATTTGTTTGCTATAAAAAACTTCTCAACGTACTTAAGGAGCTCGGTTCTAAGCAAACCAAAAGTGAAAATTTAGAGCATAACCTCAAGTTGTCGATTTAAAATAGTCACATTCAATCAGTAACGAAAACAACGAACACGATCAGAATGAATCATTGAATCACAGAAACAAAAGAAACAGCCATAGCAAACATTTTATAAGAATAATAATAGGAGTTCGGATAAATAATTCTTTCCGCAATATAATTTCATTAAGCACAATTCATAACTTTGCCTCGCCATTACTAAAAGTTTCCGAAAACAACAAAATCAGTGAAATCTATCGCTCCAAGAAAAATTCTTCACAAAATCACCTCTAAACGAATCAAAAATTTATCAGAATCGATCCGTGAATTCACTGAAATTATTTCCCAAATTTAACAATTAATTAAAGCATTATTTTCATTTGATAAGATTGCATCTTGCATGAGCCGAATAAATTCTGAGGGAAATTTTAAAAAATGGGTTCATGATTCAAAACTTCAAGCTTCCACTGATATCATAAATCACTTGACATGACGATTCAAAAGATTGTGCTAGCTCTTATGCATTTGCATTACACGTTGTTTTTCTGCTCCATATTGTGATATTAGCAGCGTTATTATTATTGTACTGTCATATGTCGATTATTAATTATGCAAGACGAGAAAATCGCACTGAGTCATGCTAAATCGTAATAAAACTGTATCACATAATCAATGAACTGAACGAATAAAATCTGATAAGTGATTTGACTTATATGAATCAATCCATTGAATAAGCAATTATATGATCTCCTCCTCTCCCCTCAAAAATGCATCACAAAATGAATGTCCAGAAATATGCACTAGCAGAAATGAATTTAAAGGATCAGTATACATCAACAATTCGAACAAAATGAATGAATGTAAAAGAGATGATGAAAAGGACTGACAGAGATAGTCACCTCTTAATTTCAGTTTTTAAACGAACCCATTTATGAAGGAACCAATTTTCGATTCATCAACGCACAGGCGCATCAGTTAACATTGCAATACTAGAATAAGCAAATGAATATAAGAACACGACAGCAAATGCCATGGATCGAACTGAAATTGTCAAGAGAACTGCAAACTGATGATAAAATGGAAGATGAGCGTGTTCCAGGAACATCAACACGTTGAGCATTTGGTCTGCATCTTTTTATATCCTTTCGTAGCGAAAACAGAAATGAAGAAAACTTTATTGCACTGTCACGTAAATTCATTAAAGGGTTGCTGAAATTTGCTATAGATGAGACTCGCCACTAATTTCCTTTTGACGTCAGCTTATGGACTCTGACGATGTTTTGGTGAATTCGTTTCATAGGTGTTATCAAACTTTTTGAAATGTATCACAATTATAGTGTAGGTGAGACTTCCGTCTTGACTGTAATCAACGCTAAGACTCAAGCTGATGCTCATGCCCAGGCTCAGGTTGGTGTTTAGGGTTATTTTGATGCTCAAGCCGTATTGTTCCGTGCTTTGAGACCGAGGTTGATGCTTAAGCATACGCGGCACTCTTCACTATCTGCATCCATAGATTACTTGCTGTTTCTTGTCTTTTTTGTTGTATCTTGTTTTTTCGTATCTCTTTTTCAACAACTCTTGGCAAACAATCACCCCCAATGCTCCGTCATATACTTCCCACTCAAAACGCACAAAAATGAGAAAGAGGACATATCGAAGGCAAATTTAAATAAACACTCGACCAATAATATCGGCATGTGATGGCCCGGTAGATCGGATCAGTTGGCTACTGGCAACTATCCTTACACTACTGTTGAAAGAAGTACCGTCACACCTAATGAACACAGCACAACTTTTACGAGATATTGAAAACGTGGATTTACACAACGCGAGAATGGAAAGCTTCGACGTGGAATCTCTATATATGAACATAAACAATGATGTGGCTGTTGAATGCCTCTTCCAGCTCCTTGCCAAGAATCTAAATTCCATCAATCTACTTGGCATTACACTCTCTGATCTGAAACAACTGACGCTAGCTTGCCTCAGATGCAACGTCTTCAGGTTCAGGGGTGAATACTACAAACAAATAAGGGGCCTCGCCATGGGTAATCGACTAGCACTACTACTAACGATTACGTGTATGGATTCCATTGAAAAGAGATGTATCACTAGGGATATGATACTGTACCGAAGATATAATGATGACATCTTGATTATAACCAACGAAGATAAATGCATGGACTCAGTATTCTCGTTAATGAACAGTTGCACAGAAGAAATGAAACTGACACGTGAGACACCAAATGAGGAAGGTTGGCTACCGTTCCTGAATGTGGAACTGAGTATACGGGAAGGGACGATGGAAATAAGATGGTACAGAAAACCGATGAAGAAAAACATCATAATGAATGAAAACTCAGCGCATGCACAAAGTGTAAAGACGCAGCTAGTTAAAAACATAATTAACCGTGCTGTGAGTCTCTCGGCGACTGGATATGTGGAACAGTCACGAGCAAAAGCACTAAACATCGTTCAGAACAACGGTTATAATCCCAACTACTTATTCAGGGGAACGAGAGGCAGAAAATTCTTTCCGGAATTACCGACACTAAACGTACCGTTCATAATGGATGAATTCGTCAACAAAGTTAGGAAGGTGTTTAAGAAGTGGAGTATCGGTGTGAATGTAGTGAGCGCGAAATCGCGAACACTGAGAGACATACTGGTAGACTTCAGGTTATATGACAGAAAATGTGAAAAAGACAACTGTGAAATTTGTGGGAAAAAGAGTGGAGCCTGCAAACTCAAAGGGGTGGTGTACCGTATAAATTGCTTGATCTGTTCGGCATCCTACATCGGGGAGACGGGACAGCCATTGGAGAAGAGATACAATCAGCACGTACGAGATATGAAGCATCCCGAAAGGGAGAAACCATGCTCGTTACACATGAAGAATAAGCATAGCGAGATGGCACCAGAAACAAATGTAGTAATAATTGCGATGGAGAGGAACACACAGAGGAGGAAGATATTCGAAGCCGTCACCATCAGAAATCTAATCCCGGATGTGAATATAAAACGTGAGATGAAGGAGGCGGTTAAGTTCTTAAATTCCTGATATTTCTGCTAAAATAAAATATTAAAAATACTGTCTACTAAATACTGTTTACTCATTATATTCATTATTCATACCTAATTATTCTAAATATGATCCTGCCCATACAACCAACACTAATCCTCAACCTCCAACATCCCGTTATCCACCTAACTCTGTTTAAAATTCGTGTCCGTTCCAGTTGCTCAATATTTCTGGTTTAACATTGTAGCTAATGATGGCGTTATAACGCCGAAACGTCCTACGGTTCTTCCGTACTTCCTGCGCATTATTTCGGTCAGTTACCATTATTTACATATTATTATTACTATTATTATTATTATTATTATTTATATTAATATTATTTATTATTATTATTAATTATCATTATTGATTATTATTATTATAATTGTTATTGTTATTATTATTATTATTACTATTGTTTTTATTATTATTATTGTTACTATTATTATCATTATTATTTCCCTTTTTTGTTGTATCTTGTCCTTTCGTGTCCATAACATCTTCATGTTTAACGCTGTTACATTTTCGCTCATTTCAAAGTGAAAATTTCAATCGTTTCAAAAGTAAAAGAGATGAAACAAATTGTTCATCAGCACAAAAGCAGTGTTGTTTACTGACTGAGTATGTCGATCTTCGGTGCTCGTGTGATAAGTAACAGTTTTTTGAGGAGAGTCATCTCGACAGACTTTTTAGCCTCTAGCAATCGTTTCATTAGGTCAGCGGCTGTCTACCATTCGAAATATCAGTCGAGCTGCAAGATGTCGTCTGAATCAACAAAAAACATCAAATATCTCACGTAATGTTTTTTTTTTGACGAATAGCGATAACAATCTTTTCAGCTATGTTTAGTAGAGAATTTTTATAAACTTGGTTATAAAATTCTACGAGCAAATTTTCAGCCAAAACGAAGCAATCGAAATTGATCAACAATTATTCAACGAATATGCGTTCAGTGTGGATCAGCTAATGGAGCTTGCTGGATTAAGTTGTGCGAACGCGGTAACAGATTCATTTCCGAAAGGGAATGTTTTAGTGGTGGTTGGGCCTGGTAACAATGGTGGTGATGGCTTTGTTTGCGCTCGTCATCTTAAGTTATTCGTTGGTTTTATCATTATTAGTTTTTGATGGATAAAGCGGTTGCATCTCGCGTGATAAATTATTGTTGCAAAACATCAAAGTGCGCTGCTTTCAGGGGTACACACCCTCAGTTCTCTATGCGAAACCGTCAAATACAGATCTGATGAAACGTCTCCAAACACAAGTAACAAAGATGGGTATTGATTTCGTGAGCGTTGATTCAGTGACCAATAATCCATCAGACATCTCCAAAAACTACTCATTGATCATTGATGCCATGTTTGGATTCAGTTTCAAACCTCCGTTAAGGGCGCCATTCGACGCCATTATTGATGCTGTTGTCAAAAGCAATGTGCCTGTTTTTTGCATCGATATTCCTTCAGGTTACTACTCTCTTTCATCACTCACTATCAGTGTTTGCATCTGTTTATCTTTCGATGCAAATTGGCTGCTTAATATAATAGTGGAATAGATTATGTGTGTGGTCTGTTTCGCGATAAGTAAACAAATCCGATTTAATGCAACAATCTGTCAGTAATGCATCATGCGTTTGAAATAGCCAAGCGAACGAGTAAAAATTTGATTGAAATTAGTGAATGTGGTAACTGTTTTATATGTATCATTTGTAAGTGCGTATGATTGATATTAACTCTTCATGCTGCTCATCTGCGTAATTGAATCTTGTGTTTTCAAACTGACCGATTTGTTGACTGTTATGAATCTTACTACAGTTTTAAATTCTGTTCTGCAAAGATCCGGTACAATTTCAAAATCAATTGGAAAAACAAAAAAAAAGAAGAGAGTTTGTTCCATTGAAGAGGAATTATTTTCATTCAAATGTCCATTGGTAAAAGCGATGGATTGTGCTTAGACTGAATTAACAAAAAAGAAAATCATTATTAATAGAGTACAGCTAAGAATACCAGCGAACATAAAAAGAAATCTCTTTATGAAGAAAAATGATTTAGCAAATGATTTCAGTAGCAATAGTGAAGCTTTATCAAGAAATAGGGTCAGTTGAATTAAGTGTTCACATTAAATTTGTTGCATTATAAAGACATTATTAGTAGTTATCAAGCAGTTATTGTCTCATTCTGAATGCTCATTGCGTTTGAAAAAGACCGGTCAGGTTCGGTAGATCTTTTCAACTGTGAGGCTATTAACGAAACAAGGTCACTTTTTTGCATATCAACATTTATTGTATTGCCTAAACAAATTAATGCTCAATCGACGGTATTCGTGCTGTGAAAACTCGTTACTTTTATTGTTATCGTTTATTGCCACCTCTATCTATTTTATTTCAACTTTTAAAACAAACCAATCCACATTCCCCATTTATGTCAACTTTGTGTGAAGTACTGTAGTTATGCTTTTACCATGAAGTAATCCACTGCTCTAATGTTTTTCAAAATTGTTCCCAGAGCCTATAAAAGCGCTAGAACCTCGGCTTATACCTGCAGTTCTTACCAATATTCTGTCCTAACTCGAATTACTCGTGATCCGAAGCATGTTTTCGTATTGGATCCAATGGAAAAGGAATTAACTCATCTCAACTCTGTGGTGCAAATTTTTATTAGTAGCGTAGAACATCGCCAACCCATTTGCAGATTGTTTTTGCAGTACCCGGGTTGATAGAGAAGTGGATGTTGCTGTCTTGTGTCTTCTAGTAGAATTGCTTCAACGGGGTGTTTCTCAGTCATCTATCTTTTTATACACATCACTCGAAATTTACTTCTCATTTACTAGTTGCATCTCTTCTTCAAACACTTAATGAAACCTTGTCAGTAACCACTTTCAGCCGCCAGTTCCTTGAAGGTGCAACAATTTCCCCGCAATAACCATGGCGAAGGCCTCAAGTATCCTCTTGTGACCATATTTGTGCCAGTAAAGTAATAAATCACAGATTCTGTATTAATGTAGTGATAATAAAAGATGTGATTACGCAGCAGAAGTAATAATAATAATTTCCAGGATGGCATGTTGAAAAAGGACCATCACCAGGAGAATGTTCTTCGGATGCATCAGAAAGAATAATAAAACCAAGTGCTTTAATATCATTAACCGCACCAAAACTGTGTGCCCAACATATACCGAAAGGATGCGTGCATTATCTCGGTGGTCGATTCGTACCCCAGTCCCTCGCTGATCAGCATCTATTGAATCTACCACCATACCCGTCAACCAACTGCTTTCTTAAATTGTCTTCTTAAATTTTTTCATAAATTAACTTATGCATTTACCGTTTTGGTGCATGCGTTAATTCACGTTCTTTTTTTAATCCTGCCTATCTTAAACAACACGTATTCGAATCGATTTTATGTTTTGTTCCATTTGTTCATCTGAATATAATAATACGCATATCTGGAAAGATGTTGAAAGTTAGAATATGCGCCAACAATTAGGACTTAAGTATAATTTTTAGTTACTATTTCACGTAGTCGAGTTATTTATAAAGCTTTATTTTCATCTTATTTGTTTTGATTACAACAAATGTTTTGTTTTTTAATGAACTGCAGAATTAGTTATTGGAAAATGGTGTTTTTAATGAATAAATGTTACGGGTATTAAGTTTTCTTCAAACCCAGAAATATTGTCATCAATATAAATTGTTAATTAAGCTATTCATGAATGCCATCCAATTGTATATTCTTGTACATGTCATCTCATGTGTTCGCTGTTCCTTTCATTACGGCCCGTTGAAAAGTTTGAGAATTAATAACTCGATACATGACATGCTAATTATTCAACAGAACTTTTGTTTTGGTTATCCGTACTATTATTATTATCGTTACCATTATTGGTAATAAATAATTTGAGCACAACTCTCGTTGCAAACATAAAAGCAGTGTTAAGAAACAATAAGCAAATTATCGCATAAATGATATTTATGAATGTGAGTGACAATAATCTGTAAATGTGTTAACAATGGCGCAACGGGTGTTTCATTGGGAGACGTGTGACTTTTGGTAATCCAATTTATTGTTTATGTGACGTTTATACCGTATAAGATGATGTGGGGTGTTGCTTAAGAATGTTTACGAGCACCTCACCAATAACGATGCCTCTTCTCTTGATTACAACCAATCATCGAACAGAAACTTTATTGCGATAGGCGTGGTCGAACAACACATCTATGGTATTATTATTATTGTCATTATGAGTATTATTATCGTTTGAGAAGGCATATTAAGGTTTTGCCATCTAAATTAACACATTGATTCATCAATCGAAAGACGTTTATTCAGTTATGAGCGAAACAGACGATTCACCAAGAGCTGTAAGTCTGAAATTTTTTCAATCTTCTTTCCAGTTTTGAATTTTATTCATTCTACATTTTCGAACAGATTTCAGTTTTAAAATGAACGGCTCACTATTCCAATAGTCGAATGCCTTCATACTTACGAATATCGCAGTTCGTTAAATAATTTCTTTGTACGCATATCCTCGCCTCCTCTTTAATACATTTATTTCCTCTCTTGAATCAGTTTTTTTTTCGAATAATCTCCACTTGAACCCACTGATCTGTTGTGTTTTTGTTCATCGAAAGTTCGATTCAAAAACTTTTCAAATTGGTTTGACGATTATTCATTGTCAGTAACATTATTCGTGTGTTCAGTCGCTCGTTTTCGGTGTTGAAAATATTCTGAACTCTTCCACTTTAATAGATCTTCCGTTTTTAGCAGAAATTTTCTCCAAAAATAAAACGAATGATTGGGGAATCACATGCCTTGGGCCATTAGTCAAGGAACTGCGGTGAGCAGTTATTCAATGTGATCATTTTAATGACATACTGATGATCATAAATGAAATCTTATTTGTCACTAGTTATGATGAAACGATTGCATTAAGCACTCACACCTCGACCATTCGTTTATTATTATGAAGTTCAAAATTAAACATCATTCGAATAAATGATCTTATTGAATGATGGAAGTCGAACTACATGAAGGCGAAGAAATGAATAAGAAATATTTGTTAACTTTTTTCAGAGTAGCTTATTGAGTATGGAAGAAATAGAACCATATGTACGTAGAAAACGTTTGAATTCGGATAAAGCAAGTAAACTGGATAGTCTTAACGAAGAGGTTTGATCAGTTATTTCTATTCTCTGCATTGTGCTTATTAGTTTCATAATATTTCATTCATCCTCACAGATCACTGCTGTCATTCATTCCCTGTTTATTGCATTATTGAAATAAGCTAAATTTGAAATTTCTGATTCAAAGGATGGAGTGATATTATTAATAAAGGTTGTAATTTTAAGGAACAAAGTGTGTTGAGGATGAGCATAAATTCACGGGAACGGAAACGAATGCATGACTTAAACGATGCGCTCGAGGAATTAAGACAGTGTTTACCGTATTCACAAACCGCAAATTCAAGAAAGATGTCCAAAATCAATACATTATTATTGGCAAGTAATTGGTGAATGCTTATCTACTTGTCAAGTTTACGTATTACTTCCGCATACAATTAACAGCTGTTTTTTTAACCAAATTTTTAAACATTTATTCAACGAACTGCAATCAAAGCGTATTTGTATGGTCGTTTGACAGCGTGATGGCCATTCATCCCAATGCATGCTTCTCATAGTCGATTCAACGTCCCAAAAAAAGATAACTGTAGACATCAATTACGCCTGACCGAGTCATCATAAACTTTTTTAAGCCGACCGAGTTATCATAAACTTTTTCAAGCAGTCAGATTTTCAGTGGATGATTGAACCTCCGAAAGTTTAGGAGCTTGTGGAACCTCCAGAACTGTAATAACTGAACCACTTTCAAGTCACAACCAAAGTCTAACGTTCTTGCGCAAGCAGTTCATCTTAGAAACCAAATTTTGAATGGCGAATAATCAATCGCTCAGTGGCAAAGACTGAGAACCTTTCTAAAATCTACCACATTCTCCGGCTCAATTTCTTCTAAAGCAGTGGTGAAGTTCTTATGCTCATGAGACTGAAAATCGGTGAGCATGAACATGAACAGCTGAAAAATATTTCCTACTCTTGTAAGCAGTGAGTGAGCAACATCAAATCCCCACTCTACGGACTGCCACCTCAAATTGATATTTAATGAAGTTTTTGATGAGCTGGACGGGACGAGTGTGTTACTGACGTTCAAATGCGAATGATATATGTTCCCGTCGCGTTTGTTGCATTGCGTTGGCCGCTTAGAAGTGTACGAGGAGCAGTTGTTGATGGAATAACTTCCGACATATAAGCATGCTTTGATTGTACTTCATCGTTTGTTTTGCGAATAAATATACGTCAAAAAAGTATTATCGTTCTAATAGAATTATCGTTGTGATCATATTTGCTTCACTTATATTCAGGAAGGGAATTTTGAAGTGAACTCTTAAATTATTCGGCATTCCTCTCATGAACACATCCATTTCTTTTCCATCATATGCGCTCTTTCTGATCATGGCCCATACTATTTTATCATACTGTTTTTTTCATCTCATTGTTTTGCTGTCTCTAAATTGAGCATCTCAAATAACATAGTCGAAATCAGCAACATGCGTTATTTGCATCTTCATTTGCAACTAATTGTGCAACTTCTGCAAGCATTTATTCGTTCTGAATGAACTGCGGGAAATTGATTGCTAATCTCAAAAAGCATGGTAGTGTTGTTCTGATTGCTAAATTTAAGGCACTATTGAACAGATGCATCTCAGCATGAAGTGTGCATAAGATGACCTTACAAGAATGTCTATGTATACAAATTCAACTGATTATCTCATTGATTGCTTATTAACGCACAGGTGGCAGATTACTGTTACGTCACCATCCTCTTAATTTTTCACACCATTTCTATTCTATTCTAATGAAATACCATTTCTGTGATACCATTCACACCAAAAAACAGTATGATAAAATGAAATACCATTCACGCCATTTCTATTCTATTCTATCATATCGAATACATGTTTTGGACATTCTATACGTCATAGCATCCATGGAAAAAATTCCATGAGAAAAGAGGAAGTGAATATTCTTTAATAAATTTGCAAAAAGAGATGATTAAAAATAATACCAGCTGGTCAGTGGATCTGAGAAGTATTCTTTATGATGATTCCTAAACAAGTATAAAATAATTTTTCATGTTTGGTAGTATATTGAATTAGTGAGAATATTCCTTTGCAGATACACCAGTTATATATTCTAAAATGGGGATTTTTCACCGACTGCATATGTAACTTGTTTATGAATGAGTCGTCGTATGGTTACGGATAAGATCTGATGGTTTCAACAGTTATTTCGAAAAGCATGCAGTAGTTTGTCGCTGATTAACAGCATATCGAACATTTGAAGTAATGCGATCTAATGAAATGCTGTTAATGAGGATAGGCTATTAGCAATTCAATCATGTTTATTGGGATGATAATTTTTTCTGGAATTTTGAAATTGTCCAAAGTCTCACCCTTCAAAAGATGTCTATTTGGAAACCGTTCATGTAAAATTTCGTTTAGAAAATTGACTTTGAAAGGTCAGTTTGTTCTTTTGTCTAATTGTAAGATGTCGTAATGTCTGATTTTTTTGGGGGGGATTTCGAGATTTCTAAGGTCTCATCTCTTGAAAGGATAACGTGCAGCCTGTAATCGAACTATGTGACCACATCCTTAAAACCATCGGTCCGAAAAGTCGAAATTGCTTTTTCCGTCTGAGGCATCACTGTAGATGATACTAAACCAAAGAGTATCTTTCCGAAGACAGCCGTCTATGGTTCGTAGAATTTTATTTTTACAATGACAGTAATTATATGCACAGATGAAATCAAGAAGAGAGTATATCACTCTGATTCTATATTTAGAAGTATGCTTCGAAAGTGTTCATCAGATTACTTCTAAAACTCAACTTGTAAATAAATAAGGCTGAGTATGAATATTAAATCAGGTCGTAGATCTTCAACTTAAGCGATCTTGTTCATTGACGGATGAAAACCTTATTGATGTAAAAAGCGATTTTGACAAAGTGGTTAGTAGGTGGGCGAATTTAGATTTTAAAGGAGGATTTTCGGTCTGTTGAGTTGATAATCCTGGGGAAGTTTGGCACAGTTTTTTGTTGCTGCTTTTGTAGTGGTTCGATGATTTATTGAAACTAGTTGCTTGAATATGCCGCGACAGATCAACATGTTATTTGCTTGCAACATATTGCTTACCCTGTTGCTTATATAGCATATTGTCGTAGATATTTGTCATTGTCACTCTTGAATGAACTTATCAAAACAATTTTTGTCGCTTGATAGTGAGTTGTTAATTGAGAAAATACGGTTCTGATTATTGATGTTATAATTTAGATTATTAATCATTTGTTTTCCAGAGACAGTATCTAAGCAACCTTTAAAATCAGTCATATGTTCAAAGTAGCACAAATGCAGTTTAGCCCCCTTTGAAGCTAACTGTAAGAAGAAGCTTATGTTGAAATAAGTATGAGCCTCAAAGTGTATTGTTTTTATTCGTAACGTGATTCGTTTTAACTGTTGTCCATTACATATACCCATCACCATTTTTTTGTTGTGGTTCAAAGCGGTAATTGCTATGTGCAGAAAGGAATGTACAGATATTCTCGAGCGATTGGCTGGAGAACGAAGCGTGATGTGAAAAGATTGCTCATGAACATGTTTGCAGGATACGACAGTTAACCAACACCAACAACGAATTACGTCGACAGTTAGAAGAACTTCGAAGTAGAACATCATCCTTATCGCTACCGTTGTCAACATCCTCATCTGCAAGAGCATCCGATTGCAATGGTACGCGAGCACCTATTGTCTGGCCATCCTCAACAAGTGCTACGGTACTGCCGAGTTTAACGTCGTCAAGGAATATTCATTCATTAGCATTGATTAATAACGCCGATAGTAATAATAACAATAATGGCGTATTCCCCTTGAATTTTATTCATGATACTCACAAATCAATGCTCAAGATAACATCCTCACAACGGCCGTGCATTAAAGCATTGAATAGTTTTTGTTTTTGTGTTAAATGTATTGTTAAGAACTCATCGCATCTTAAAGGTACTCACTCAGAATAAGTGATCAACTCGTTCTTTCTATGAAACAGTACACTTTTATGTAAATTAAGCAGTACTTTCATTCATGATCATATTGAAAACGAACTAAAAATAGAAATGAAATTTCGACTATTCATTGCACGATAATGCATTTTCTGAACATACGGTATTTATGTTATCACAACGTGCTTAATTTCACTCGTTACATCGTTTAGCATTCAGTGATCGTGATCACTTTAACTGATCAATGATGCTCTCGTAACATACTGAGTACAGCTAAAATTTGTGACATATGCGGAAATAGGAGAGATCGATATATATGACTCGTTATTCGATGATCTAATTGAGCGTTTGAGTTGAAGAGGTCAAACATTTGTATAATGGAGATGAAACGAATATTAACCGTCATAATTATATTATTCGTTTTGTTCATTTTATAATGAGTAGTTTGATTATTGTTTGAATTGCTGTCAACTTTTTGGCTGCAGTTTTACGCTTCTGGCATGGATACATTTATTTCAAGAATAATGGCAAGAAACGTTCCACTTTTTTGTTTTCGTTGAGAATTTCAAAAAAAGGTGATTGCTTTAGGAACTGCAGTCGGAAGGCATTCATAAGTATTAAAATGAGTGTGTTTAGAAGGAAATTTTGATAAATAAATTCATGCAAATACGTATCTGTTAATTAATATATGAGACTTCGATCAATCAAAAATGAGCTGAGTGATGGTGTTTAGCGATTAAATAGACAGCGAGTAATAAGAATATAAGTGGTGAATGGTGTCCTTGAAACTATTAGGATGATGAGAGGTGAACTGCATAGGTGGATTATGATTTATTGAAGAAGTGAATAATCACATTAACTATTTATTTATGTGTATGCATATTCAGTCTGTTTACGACATTCAATTTTTATAATACAACACAAACAGAATGAGTGCTGCACGTAGGTTTTACAACGCTGGAGAGTGCAAAAGCCATTTTTTAACCTAATTTAGAGAAGGGAATTTCAACTCATGAAACATTCTGTCTCGGTGCTCATATGAAAATATTTTCTTTCTCATTACTGTAATTAAGTATCGTTTCATATTTCCATTTCATGCATGCTTTTTTCAAAATTTATGATGTATATTCTATATATAATATTTTACATAAAATTAATCCAAATAAAAAATTATGTCAATTTTTTCTTAATTGAAAATCACGATTGCCGCATTATCGAACGTAATTTCTGTTCAACTGTTGTTTTGTTTATTGTCACAGTTTCAGTGAATGTATTTGATAAAGCTGTGAACACAATGCTGACTGTATTGAGTAGTTGCTTGAAATGACTTGAACATCGATTTGCTTGATCCATTCAACAATTATAAAATAAAATAAGAACGTCTGGCGATTAAGTACTCATCGATGGCCATCTAAATGCTTTTCTTATCCACTTTTGAGCCGATTAGAAGACGACATAAGGTGGTGGTTGTTATATGGTTATAACAGCATCATCACTTAGTATTTGTTACGGTACTTATTGAATGCTGGACAGGTGGACGTTCACCATAGGGAGCATTATATATCTATTTATTGGACAACTGCGTGGGGATATAATTACCATATTCAATCTTTATTGTTATTGGTATTAGTAGTGCTAGTTAACGACATTTTGATTCATAAACACTTCGTTATTGCATAATCATCTCGTGTAACAACACTATCATTTGTAATGTAATTATGGAACAACACAGCTGGTTGGTTCATTACTATGTGATCGATCATTACAATAGTAATAATGAATTAATATGGCTCTTTTAAGAATGCCTTTTTAAGTTATATCAATGACTACTGCTGTAGTTTTATCCACACCGCGAGCAGCGTGCAATCCATGACTCACTATAGGTCGTAGTATACTAGTATGAACTTTTTTCAAGTCGGTTACAGATTTTTCGGCGATTCTCGTTCCCGAATGTTCCTCGGGAATTGATAAAATCGGACCAAAGCATCAAAAACTTGTAATTTTATTCAGTTCCCGTTATTTATTTATTTAATCAGCAATTCAACTCATTACGAGTTTATACCTCTCTGTTATCACCAATATCACTAATATCACATTCTTCTTTCCTTGGCATTCTTCTTTCTGCGCAGCTAACGATGATGGCATTTGGAATCATCTGTCTTCATGAAATTCGAACTTGGATTATTGATCTGGCAAGCAAAGAGGTTTTGGGCTACTCTCCCATATTGCCCAATGATTTCTAGGGAGAGGGACTCAAAAGGAGCCCGAAAATACATTCTGATGGATCGATTGAACATTTGTCCAACGATCGTTCAGAGCAGTTGTTTGGAACAACCAACAGTTGTAGTGAATCAGTAATCTTTTGTTATCAATAATAAACAATTAATGTAACCGAGTAGATCCGTAGCAATCGGCATATCAAGCACTTCACCACAACCAACCAATAACGAGTGCCTGTCGCCGTAGATAATCTGCATAATTAAATTCAGCCGAATACCAACAACAATCCATTAAACAATCGCTACAATGACGAACATTTTGCCGATCGCATAAAAAAGATCGACAAATCAACCGCTCACCGTCTAAACGTAACTCTACATCCCAGTTCCCATTATATTGTCGCAAAAGACTTTTGAAATGTTTAACTTTTTCTTCGGACGCTTTATTTTACGTTTTTTGCTACATTGTCGTCATTCAGTCGGAGTGCATTGGGCCTTCAAATAATTCACGAAATGCTTGTCGTTGTTACCGGTTTGTGCTCATTCAATTCGTGTTATTTCGTAACGTAGCACTTTTCAGGTATGTTGATCATTGATGAACACTGTACTTCTCAATTATTGAAATTCTCCCATATTTATTCATTTCGCGAAGTCGTTCAGTTTTTGTTGCCAAATATTATGCATTGTTTATTTTTTCACGTGGTTCAATAAAATATTATTGTTGAAACTGTGTTATGGCTTCGCGGTTATCTCTGTTCTATCCTATACATTGTTTATTGCAATCTTTTTCCAACACAAATTCCTGTTCCCAAGGTCCTTTTAGCTTCAGTTCAAAAGTTCCATTCCTGGGAAACATTCGGAAATCGAGGGGCGAGGGCCGGGATGAAATAGATTTTCCCCGAAATTCTCAGACTTTCCACATGCTCGACTTTTTTCCTTCCCCGCAACACACTAATGTATACAAGAGCAATAAAGATTTCAGTTGAGTGAAACCATTCAGTGAATAATCATCATTTTTACCACAAACCACGATGAGTCACCATCATTGTCATCAATACCAGCATGCAATCAATCCATTACTCATTGTCACTACTTATTTGCCATCTATAACACTCCATGTAAAACTAGCCAGCTGTCTGCCTATAATACTCGTAAGCAGTTGTAAACATTCACATGACATCTGATAAGAGTCTATAGCATTTAACGATCCATCCACATAGCAACACAATGCTTGAGGCATGCTTACAGAGACACTTAATAGAGAGTAGCTAATCGAAGGCAAGCAATCAATTTCAATATATCATTTTTTATTATCACCAATTAATTAATTCAAACTGAAAATCTCTACCGAATAATTAATTTATGCTTCTTTATCTCTCAAAATTGTTATTTTCCATTCAACATATCAAATCCTCTTACTCAGCAGAACTAAACTCGTTGCAATGTAAAAACAAAAAAAAAAAACAAATACTTCCTCACCCAAAAAAAATCTCCACATGATTCATCCACACATTTACATCGATCTGTTTCTCCATCTTACGAACACTCCTCTCTATACTATGAATTACTAACGGTGCCTGCCATTTATGCTTCTTTCGCTTATACTCTTCTTATTCTCATTGTTTAGCACTGCTTCCATCCGAATTCATTTTAACGAAAACTTATTTGTTGTTGTTGTCACTATGCATTATACATACACATATATGATTGGTTTGCCAGTCGTTTCTATATAATCGTAAACAAAAACAATTTTAATATGTAGTCATTATTAAATTCATACGTATACTTCTAAATTCGTAAGAACTGTGACATAGTAATCGTGTTCATCGCATCATTGCAAATATGTTATTGAAACTCTTTTATCATCAGTTTGCCAATCATTTTATTGTATTGCTCTTAAAGACTTCTCGATACTATTGCTTTCAGCAGTAATCCATACTTGCTTTTGTCTAATTTTCGACTGCTTATCGGAGAAGAATTATTTTTAGCTCTTCCTAGTTGGTGTACGCGATGAACGAGTGCTGACAGCTGATCGATATCAAGGTCACTAACAATGAGAGTAGTATATTTTACAATGTTGTTTGTTTTGATTGAGATTGTGCGATGTAGCCTTGTCATTAGTAGTATTTTGTTTTAGAACCGTTCGAAAACAATGAGAACTTTTTCTAATCGATTCACTGCTTCTGAATGTATTGCTCGTACGCTTCTTTACAAGGTTCCATTTGAAAAATCGTCATGCAAACCCGAACAATTATTCAGTGATATTAGAGCCCCCCNCCCCCCCCCCCCCCCCCCCCAAATGCTGTTAATTTGCATTTGAATGCATTCTTATTATGCGAATCTGACAGTGAGATGAATTTCTATTGAACAAGATTGTAGAAAAATTTCGGGTGACCGACAAATGCCCTAGCGACAATTGCAAGCATGACATTTGGCAAGCCCGTAGTCGGTCACACAAACTTCAATGCATGCTCACCATTTTGTGTGTGTAGTATGAAACGCGGACTATGTGATATATTTCGAGAATGTTTATCATTGTTTTATGGTACTGGTGTCGTTTGAGGGGGCACAGCAGCGAACGTGCAGCAGTACAACAGCACTATGACTGACGCTCAGCCTTAGCTTAAGCGTACGTTGAGGTTTTATACGACACACACAAAATGGTGAGCATACATTCGCATTGCTCAAAAATCGAACCTGAACGAAGTCTGTGTGACCGTCTACATGCTGGACAAATGTCGTGCTTGCAATTGTTACTAGGGCATTTGTTGTAGATACAGAATTTTCGTTTGCTTGAAATTCTGGTTTGCAAGATTTTACCATGTGATCTGAAGAGGGGTTCGGGTCGATATATAATATTTTCAAAAATGGAACTTCTTGCTGCAATGATTCATCATTCATAATGCTAACCACAATCGAATTGGTGATAGTGCATTCGTATGATCAAGTGAACAGCTGGTTTCTTGAATGAACAATAAATCGTTGTTCTTAAGGAGGATGAACATTAGCTGCTCTCGTAGAGCTGTGTAAAAAAACAAATCCAACTTGGAATTGTCCTTATGGAACGAGTGAATAGCCCGTGATGCATACAGTATACGTTGTATTGTATTACTAACATCAGATTCGTTTCAACTTAAGCCCGGGGGCTCCTGTTTTTCGCAAAACTCAGAGAGAAGCAGGATGTTAACACAGAAAGAGGGTAAAGGGGAGGGGAAGTGGTACTTTTTGCGACGCTTTGGATGTTTTTAATATGGTGTACGTCATTGATGTTTACGTTCATGTGAACACGAAACACCCATCATTCCTTTGGTTTTCGATTTTTTGTGCTATTATGCGAATCATGTTTATAAATTATGCAAAATTGTTTTCACGTACGCCTTGGGTTGGTGTGGTTAGGAGAAGTTTTATTTCAAGCATGGAGGGCAATAATCGTTCGAGAAAATATTGAGCACCTTGAGAAGGAAGGGGGACAGACATGTTTGGACAAAAGAAGAGATACCCGGGAATGGGAGAAGGTGCCGAGGAAGAAAGAAGAAGAGTATTCAAGGTGGGATTCACACACTTCCCTTGGTCGAAGATGTGATGCATACCCTCAGCTACGGCTAAAATTATTTCCAATTATTGTTGGGAAGGAGAGCACCGTGCTCATCTGTCACCATAAAAAAATTCGTCGCAGACAACAAATAATCAAATAATAGTAATAACAAATAATTAATAATTAACAATTATAGCGTACAATCACAACAAATAATTAAACAGAATTAGTAACGAGACGTACAGTGAAATCGTTTATATAGCGTACATTTCAAAAGTTGATGAGCAGAAGGTAAAAGTTTGATGTTTGTCGGTCAAACAAGTGCTAGACTCATCACTGACAATAAGCTTATCTGTTCGTAGGCAGTTGTTTGCTTATTTGCAGTGTTTACGCTATGAAATAACAACGCTCGTTAATTGATGAAAAGAAGCGTTTTTGTTTTGCAATTAAGGTAATTGTAGCAGATCGGTGATAATGGTGTTTGAGAGTGTGGTCGCCGATTTGCTCAATCGGTTCCTGGGCGACTTCGTTGATAATTTGGATGCTTCTCAACTGAACATAGGAATATGGGGAGGTTATTATTACTATTATTGTTATTATTATTAATAATATTAATCTTAATAATAATAATAATAATAATAATAATATTATTATTATTATTATTAT